GCGACGGTCTGCTGTTATCTTCTGTTTCCTTTTTGTTTTGGGCACAAGTTCGCCCCATTAAACGTTTCGTTTCTTCATTTATCATCGCCTCTTTAATTGTCATTCGTGACATTTTGGTGGAGGTGCGGGGTAATCGGCTGAAGGAGACCTGCTGGCTTTGACGGCGGTTTCTTGCGTCGCTGGCACTCATGGCACGATCGTGTGTAGATATGGACAGTCTTCGGAAGCTTGGGCCAGTAGTATTTTTCACCTATTCGGGCTAGGGTCCGGCTGTAACCGAGGTGTCCTGAAGTCGGGTCGTCGTGGCAGGCTTGAAAAATCTTTTCTCGAAGTCTGGTAGGGACTACCAGAAGCCACGGCGAATTACTGGTTCCGAAATTCTTCTTATAAAGCACACCTCGTCGAATAGTGAAGGTCGGCAGGGCTCGTGCAAAGACACGAGCAACGGGACTTCCTCGTCCTTCTAGATGCTCAATCAGGGCGCGCAGCTCAGGATCGTCTCGCTGGAGCACTGCCATGTCGTTGGTGTCTACGGCACCTAGGAAACATTCGTCGTCATCGTCGTCGACGCCGGCAATGGGAGGTTCGACTGGAGCCCTAGACAAACCGTCAGCGTCATTATGCTTGCGGCCGGACTTGTGCACAATGGCTACGTCGAATTCATGCAGTCGGAGACTCCAGCGGGCGAGGCGTCCGGACGGATCCTTGAGGTTTGCGAGCCAGCAGAGGGCGTGGTGGTCTGTGACCACGCGAAACGGGATCCCGTACAAGTACGGACGGAACTTGGTTATCGCCCAGACGACAGCAAAACATTCTTTGTAGGTCGTTGAATCATTTTCTTCTGCCTTAGACAGCGCCCGGCTTGCGTAAGCGATTACTCGCTCTGCCCCTTCTTGTCGCTAAACGAGTACCGCACCGAGACCGGTATTGCTGGCGTCCGTGGCGATTTCAGTCTCCGCCGACTGGTCAAAATGTCCTAGGATAGGGGGCGACTGGAGCCTTCGCTTGAGTTCGTCGAACGCTTGCTCTTGCTCCTCTCCCCACTGGAACTGCACGTTGTCTTTCGTCAGATGCGTCAGCGGTGCAGAAATTTGCGCAAAGTCACGAACGAAACGTCTGTAATAGGCGCACAGCCCAAGGAATCTTCGAACGGCCTTCTTGTCTGATGGCTTCGGGAGTTCGGCGACAGCGGACGTGTTTGCAGGATCAGGGCTTACACCCTGAGCACTTACGACGTGGCCCAAGAATTTCAACTCACCGTAGGCGAACCGACACTTGGAAGGCTTGAGTGTCATCCCAGCAGCCTTGAAGGCCCGTAGCACGGCTCGCAGTCGTCTCAGGTGCTCGTCGAATTCGCTGGCGAACACCACAGCATCGTCGAGGTAGACGAGACAGCTTTGCCATTTCAAGTCAGAAAGGACGGTGTCCATAACGCGCTGGAAGGTTGCCGGCGCTGTGCACAGCCCGAACGGCATTAAACTCATACAGTCCGTCCGGCGTGACGAAGGCCGTCTTCTCACGATCTCGTTTGTCGACCTTAATCTGCCGGTACCCGCTCTTCAAGTCCATCGACGAAAAGTATCGGGCGTGGCGCAGCCGGTCCAGGGTGTCGTCGATGCGGGGCAGCGGATAGACGTCCATTTTTGTTACTGCGTTCAGCCGGCGATAGTCCACGCAGAACCTCAAGGTTCCGTCTTTCTTCTTCACCAGCAATACTGGGGAACCGCACAAACTGTTTGAGAGCTGGACGATGTCGTCATTATGCATTTCCTGAACTTGCTTCTGGATGGCTTCCCTTTCTTCCACGGAGACCCTGTACGACGGCCGATGCACAGGGAGTGCGTCGGCATCAGTAAATATTCGATGTTTCGAAACCGTCGTTTGGCGCACCTTCGACGACGTGGAGAAGCGCTCAGTGAGCTCGGCGAGGTCACTGAGTTGTCGTCGTTGTGGGGCTGGGAGGGACGGGTCGATGTCGAGCTCTGATGACGTGATTGTCTTGTTCTGCGTCGGAGAAGCGTCTTCTGAGATCATGGTGATCTCGGCTGAGTCCTGAATTTCCTCGACGTAGCCCACAGCTGTACCCTTTGTAAGGGGCTGCGACTCTTTCCGGAAGTTGGTGACAAGGGCTTCTGTACTCCCGTCCTGGAGCTCGGTTACGCTTCTTGCAATGCCAAGTTCTTGACAAGTCCATCGTCTTCCGGCATGGCGCCCCAGAACTCCTGATCACAGAGCGAGGGTCATCGTTCATGGCACAGTTGACCCAAGAGATTCTTCGTCTAAGCCACACGGACCACCGCCGAACAACTGCACAATAATAATAATAATAATAATAATAATAATAATCTTTATTAGCACAAAGAGCAGACTGTGTCCTGGGGGGCGTGCGAGGCGAGAGCAGATAGGCGAAAGCCCGTACGCGAGAGCGTCTGCTGGCCAACCCCCCAGGAAACAAACAATAAAAACAGAAAACAAGCAATCAGAGAAACAACAATCAAGCAACCGAAAAAACAAACAATCACAAATTTCAAAAAAAAAAATCCAAGCAATCTTAGTGCTGGATTTGCAGAACACTCTCCAGAACACTCCCTGGTGTTTCATTGTTGGAGCTATGAATTTCCTACTTGTTTTATAGTTTTTGTTTTTTATTCAGATTGTGTAATATATGTATTTTTTTTAGTCTAGTGATGTTTCAATCATACTTTTGTACATTAGTTTGATATATTTTAATATTCATACCAGTGACATTTTTATGAATGCTTGAAAATCCACCACCTGCGGAAATGCCTCCCGGCGATGCAAGCTTCTTAGTAAAAAAAATTTTAAATAATCACGTTTTTTATTTATTTTATTTTATTTTATTTAAGTCACCGTTGCTAAAACAATACAGTCTTTATCGCTGCTTGTATTTTTAAATCTGGAAGATTCGTTGAAATCCGCCCGATCGCGGACAAGAATGCGGAAGAAGTACTGTGAATTTAAAGTACAGTTTCACAAACAACTTTTTATTGATCTAAACCCCGCCAAACAAGATGCAACACAGCTTGACTTTATAGTTAGCTAAAAATAAACTTAATTTGCTTTTTAACGTTAGATTTGTTTGTAATAAGACATTACTTTTCTAGTTTTTCTTTCTTTCTTTTGCGTTTAGATTTGCTCGCCTTGCGGAGCGCACGTTTGTCTGCTTCTTTTGCAGGGGTTGTGGTAACGTCAGAACGCCGTATCCTGATTCGTTCTGACTGTAGGATAGTGGGTAGACCTCAAAGCAAGGTGCCTTGAGGTCTACCCCCTATCCTCCATTCAGAACCAATCAGAGCTCGTCGTTCTGACGGTATCACAACCCCTGTAACAAAAGCAGACGAGCTTGCGCTTTGCATAAGCCTTACCTAGCTGACGAACTGCGTGGAACCTAGAAAGATCGCTCAATGCTCGGATTTGCCCAGTAGAGCACTGTTTTCTTGCTCATGTTCAGCTTGGTATAGGGTTTTCTTGTTTGATGGGCATTTGATTTCAGAACGAAACAAATGCACATAAAAAGCATAAAATTATAGACAACCGCTAAATGAAAACTATTTTCGGATTATTTTTTGCGGGAAAGGTTTATTTGAATATTAATACTAAAACTCCTCTGACCTAAATCATAAATTAAATCATCTTGAATTTTATTATCAACCCTGCCCTTAACAGTGTAATGTGTTTAGTGTTATAACGCTGATGGCGTAAATGATAAATCCTTCTTTTCGAAAACAAGATTCAACACTCCTATAAAAAGTCTAGAAGTTCACCAAGACGAAAAAAAATCAATCATTTTTCCTCGATCCCTCAATGAGCTCAACCAGTAGAATGACCGATCGGTATCATGCTCTCATAGCCTTGATATTCCAGAGGCAAGAGGAGCGAACGCTTTCTTGCCACTAAAATAGCATGGCCATTGGAGCCTGACACCTATTCACTTTCTCGTTAGTCTAACAGATTAAAGAAGCTCCAATGATATTGAGCTCCTGATTGTGCATAACACTCCGAAGCACCTGCATCCACGTCACCCCCCCCCCCCCCCCCCCTCACACACACACTCACCCAGTGCATTCGGACAGCCAACAATTGGACTTCATATATTCAGTTTAACCAATTAAGAGGTTCATTGCGATCCTGCTCCAATAGCCATGCGGTTTTAATGACAAATGGGGCTAACTGCCGTTTTTTAAGCCACTGAGGCGGCGTGACTACTAAAACTTCACACCATTCTTCTTCCTGATTGACTAAACTGATTCGAGGCCGATCAGTTATTTATGTTTAGTGTGCACCGCAGTGCAGTATACAAGGGTCGTTTAACGTTGACCTGAATTTCTGCTATAAAAAATCGCTGAGCAAGTTTAGAATAAAGAAGCATGCGGAGAACGTTAACGTAGCCCTTCTCGACGATTCCGTGCCCGGTATGACCTATCTGACACAGGTGCAGCGGTTCCAGCTATCATGACATGCAGCGAGCGTTGTGTCTGCAGCTGTGCAGCAATATTGCTTAATTAAAATTCAACTTAAACAAAATTCAATTTAATTAAATCCAGTCGAGCTTTTGAGACGATTACAAGCACAGTATGGGAAACAAATGATGTCACGGACAAAAATGTACTAAAACTGTCAAGAGTTTCGCGAAGGACACCCCTTGAGGAATGAGCCGCACGGACACGTTCGTCCGGCCAGGATCACGCGTCCAAGATACATTTTACGCCAAAGAATTAGGAAGCTGTCAAAAAAGATGGCAGCGGCCCTTCGGCACCCACGGGGAATATTTTAAGAACTGACATAGAGTTGTCCTTGTTGGAGTTTTAATTTCCTCTGTAGGAACAAAAGTCTCGGGGAACCTTGAACGACCCTTGTACACACGAGCCTTTTCAGAATTCTCGCGACCTGAAACCTTAATAATAACGACATTCCCTTTCTCGTCCAGGTACACAGACGACACCCTCAGCGTCCTCTCGGTACGCCATTGAGGTGTCACGATGCTTGAGGTGGCCTCCCCTACTCGAGTCCAGCCTCCACGGCTCGAGGCTAACGGCACTTCGGGCAGAAGAGAGAGCCCCGCACGAGGACCCCAGTGGCCCGGACACCGGACGTTCCTCAGCATCTACAACGAAGACCACGGTCGACTGTTCAACGGCGCTGCCGAAACCTCCGGGTGCTTGAGCGACGCGCAAGGCGGCGGCATTGCCTGGCTGTGGATGGTCGTTTGGTGTAACTGCTTCATCTACATGGGAATATCGCTGCAGGGCATCACCTTTACCGCTCTGGTAAGTAAGTGAGCTCATGGCTTCGTCATGTGTGAGGAAGTCATCGAGTAATTTTTCTGGCGACCTGAATTAGTCAAAGCGCAAGTGCAGTCAGTGCCCGCCCTAGTCGGAGTTCTGTGAAACTACACGTAACGGTCGCTGAGTCATCAAAATAAATTAAATCTATCATAAGTATCAGGAAGCTAAGGTTGTTTGTTTATTTTAGAGCGCAGCTCTTCGGCGCCCGTTTCCGGCTTGAGCGGAGTCGGCGTCGCCGTCGGCGTAACCGCGCGGTGCATTATGGGTAAATTTCCCCGCTAAATCTAGCGGAGAAATTTCCCCGGTAAATCTAGCGAAAAAATTTCCCCGCTAAATCTAGCGGAAAAATTTTCTCGCTAAATCTAGGGGGAAAATTTCCCCGCTAAATTTAGTGGGAAAATTTCCCCGCTAACTTTAGCGGAAAAATTTCCCCGCTAAATCTAGCGGAAAAATTTCCCCGCTAAATTCAGCGGAAAAATTCACCCCACTAAGTCTAGCGGAAAAATTTCCCCGCTAAATTTAGCGGGAAAATTCCCCCGCTAGCGGAAAATTTGCTCTGGAGGGTCACGTGACCCCCGAGGTCACGTGACCCCCCCAGGTCACGTGACCCCCACGTGACTTTGGGAAGGGGGTCATGTGACCCCACCAAGGTCACGTGACCACCCCCCCTCCCGAGGTCACTTGACCCCCCCCCCCCCCCAGAACATGTGAACCTCAGTACCCTGCCCTCCTCCTCCTCAAGAGCTGCGCTCTAATTCGGCGTTACAGGGATTTGTAAATGGCTTAAATTTTTTGTGAATCTTTTTGGCAATACATTTTTTTGTGAAAAGGTAATTTCAAAAGCCTAGATACCAAAAGAATCATGTTTGTCACTACAGTGTGATGCGCGCTAAAGACTTCAGGCAAGCAGTGCACTGACCGAATGTTCTTACTAGAGTATCTTACTGTGCTGCTATACTCTCAAAATACAACGTTACGTTATCTAAAGATATAACGTCTCAGTTGCTTTTTCGCTTCCTTTTGTGAGAGCTTACGCTGTCGTGTGATTTTTCTATAACATTTCCCGAAACGGCATGCTTCACTTCTGGCCATGCGTGGGATCAAATCACTTCCCAAAAATGTGGACTCGTGCCTGTCCTGTCGACAGAACTTCTCTCTATCTTTATATTCCCTTCGAGCCGTCATTGCAGCTTCCATTAATTTTCCATTGTTACGGGGCGTCGCCACGGTTAACTGGGCTTGATTACATGGATTCCGTGGGTTCTCTCTAGGACACGTAACTGTATCAAAATATTTAAAACAGTACAGCTGCCGGTGGGTAATCTTCGATTACCCACCGGCAGCTGTACACAAGAAATTTACTTAAGTGTTACTTCGAAGGAATCATATAATATTTTCCTAACCTCGGTTAAGACTGTTTAGACGTTTAGACTCTGATGGCCGTAAGTTATGACCATTGGAGACTGTAGAATCGTTGCGACAATACACGTGACAGCTTTCGGCCGCAAGTTGACATTCTCCAGGGTTTTCAGTAAAAGATTAATGTTATGATGCTGTATGTTATGAAAGATGTATGTTATAACCCTCTATAGGTTATCTCTCATAGCACACAACAAACGTGTTAGAGAGTCGATTCGTGCGGTACTTGTTGTAGGAAACATTGGAGAGGATCAAGTTCGCACAGAAAACGTTACATCTTACGTGTTCAGTCGCAGGGATTCGTGCCGCCCATGTTCATCTCAAAACCGCGCGCCCCAGTTGGCTCTGCTCAGATGTGCCTGTTGTGCTCTGGACAACGTGAGGCCGGGGTCCCACTGCTCACACATCATACAAAAGACAGTCTAAACACGAGTCACCGTGGTTTGAATGCCGCGTGCCAAGTTTCTTCCTTAAACTCATTGTCATGCGACATTCCAAGCACGGATCTCGCGGTGACTCGCGTTCGAATCTGTGTGCAGACTGTCTTTAGTAGGATGTATAAGCAGTGCGACCCCGCCTTTAGACTTCGGCGTTTTGGGCCCGGTGCACAAATAAGTCACGAATACCGTATGAACGCACGACGCTGGTTACGATTTCTCGCGACAGGCTCGAAGGCGAGGACTGTCGGGCCTCGAGACGGGAATCATCCACGCCTGCTCAAGAGCATCCATCATCCTGGGCATACTTTTGGCACATGTCCTGGTACGTATACGCTGTTACGTGTATGCTTTACGACACTTTGAGTGCAGTGCACTCTACTCACTTACAGCTTAGGAAACGCCGGTCCGGGCAAGTCCCAAGAACCTTATCATCGATCCGCAGCCAATGAGGCTCCGGCGTAAGCCGATAAGAAGTTCCGATGAACCAATCGCGAAGCGAGATGCGTGATTAGCCACGCCTTGTTATTTTTCAGCCGCTGTCAGACACTGCTGATACACCCTGCAAAAGACACTCTGCTAACACAGTCTGAGGAGGCGTGTTTCTTCTATGATGGTTCTGTCAGATTAGTCATACAAAAATTGTCTTTAGACATGTTCGAAGCATATATATTTATCTACCAAGGAGCCATGTTTCACACCTGCTTGAGGGCCTGTCCGCAGATGTTCATCTCATCTTTTCTGCAGCCAACACCGCTTCTTTTACACTATGTACGAACAGTAGGACTGTATAGCTTTGGGCCGTCGGTCACCGATGGTTAGAACGTTGCACCATTATACTAACTTCTTTCACATCCCAACGACAGGCGCAATTGAACTTTTTTCGAGTAACGAGAGCCATCTGGGGAGTTGTCCGCGAACTACAAATGAAGGGCAGCCCAATATGCTTCCGCCAATCAGAACACATTGACATTGTGCAGTTGTATCGGCTATCAGTACTCTTGATACCCCATTCCATCGGTACTAAAAAAAAACGAAGCGTCCAAATAGACTAATTACGCTCGAAGATAGATGCTGACAGGATTGGTCGTGCCGGGCAGTTCCCGCGAAAATGGCGACAGCGGGAAAACGGGCCTGGAGTGTAGGCATGCGCATAAGCTTACTGGAAAAAGGTCCATTGTCTTAGTTTTCCTTACCGCCATAAATCAAATTCCACAGGCTTATACACGTCGATGGAAGCACGGAAAGCTGGCAACGAGGTTTGTGGAGCGTCCCCAATGCTACAAGAATGAAAGACAAAAGAAACACGATTCGTTGTCTCTGCTTTCCTTTCAACTGATCGCCACTGGATATTTTGGTCTAGAACGCTCTAGAGGTTGAGCAAGTTTTGTCGGTGCTGTATAATGCTAGCGCCGAGAGTAACTCCTGGTGGTCATTTTCCTGACGACTCCCGGTTCTCCCCCCTCTCCCACCCCGTCACCTATGCCGCAGTCTGTCAGCAGAGGCGGACTCAGTCGACTGACGCTTAAAGTCAGCTAAGCCCCGTTTTCATGCAAGAAGGCAATTAACGTATACGTCTTCGCCTCGATGCGCCGTCTTATGTCGTCTACGTGGAAACGCGTGGTCTGTGATCTGTTCCGTCGTTCGGATGAGGGCATTGCAACGACGAATGACGTTGGTGCCGACGATTCATTAAAGACAGGACTATTCACGTAACCTTCAAGTTACTTCTTGTGGACAAACGCGTCAACCGGAATGAAGCTTTACCGTGTAAGCGCCATTTGCGTCAATCATATTGATATGTTCTGCAGGAAGAAAGGCAAAGTAAAAAGCGTAACCGAACGTAGCCAAGCATTGGGTTTCTGAACCATAGACATATGTAACAGTATTATTTTCTTTACCAAAATCTTTTTTTTTTCTATTTATTTAACTTCGAGTTTTTGTCGTATTTGTGTGTTGTTCGTCTTTGCCCGTTTCGCTCAATATAATGGATATAAAGTATGAACCAACTAGCCAAAACAAGAGTCGCGACGCAAGATTTTTTTTTATGTCTGCTTCGTCAATTTCAGTTACACTACGAGCAAAAAGTAATTTGACACTGCATTATTTTTGTTCGGTTTAATTTCCTTCCAGTGTAGTGCCCGCAGTGATTCCCGTAATTTGCTTGTTTTCTATGAGTCGATTGTATAAATTCGGTTGTGTTCTTTTTATTTTATTTCAATATAATAAGAGATTGGAGTTGCCGAGCGCTCTAGAGGCTGGGTAAGTTTTGTCGGTGCTGTATTACTGCTAGCGTCGAGAGTAACTCCTGGTGTTCATTTTCCTGACGACTACCGCTTCTTCCCCCTCTCTCACCTCGTCCTCCATATACCGCAGTGACCGGAACAATTATTTAACATAATAAAGTCTGAGCTTAAAGATCAAGCAAACGCCCGACGAAACGGACCACAGATCGTAGGACGCGTGCGAAAGGTGGGCGAGTCCGACCAGGCACCAGTGGAATCCCAAAGTCTTGTGAATGTACGTGAGACGCGTGAAGCCGTGAAGCCTCTTTTTTTTTTCGGCGGCTCGTACAACCCGTTTGATGTCTTCACGGACATATACTTGTCTTGCCCCTTTTCGAGACAACAGTCACTGGCAGTTCAAGAAACTCAAGGTGTGACATATTATTTTCCCAGGTCCTGCTTCGTGATTCGTTCATCGACATTCTTATCGGCTAAATTCAGTATCTCATTGGCTGAGGAGCAACGATAACCCAGGTAGCACGCCAGAAACACTCCTAACTTGACAAAGGCTTGGCTATCTATAGGGCCATGGAGGTAGCACGCTTCTGGAGGCGACATGATGCCACCAGAGATGAAGCCAGGAGTGTGGAGGGACACGCCCCCAACAATGACCGAAAACGACAGCTGTTTTGGTCGCCCTAGGCCAAGGGCAACGTTACTAAAACACTCAGTTGGGAAACTCGCCGCCGAAACTTGGGCCGCTGGCGTCCACCGAGACCGAGCTAAATGCGACAACAGCGCCACTCTTTATCATTTGTCTGTACTGTGGTCACCTTGAGCTTTTATAAAGCATGTTTTTGCGTGAAAACAAACAGAAAAGATTCTTTTTGTTTGAAATTTATTGGAGTTTAGTACAAAATGATGGGCGCGTGATGTTTTTAAAATCTTTAGTTTACAGGGTTTGCGGCACAATTAATATTGTTTTTATACAACCATGCATCAGCGGTGCTTTCAGATAGCGCGTCCCGACCTAAGTGCATTTTAACTTCGGTAGCGAGTCGCGGCGCGTCCGCTGGGAAGACGGGGGTGGCACCCCTGTAACCTCTTCCGCTGTATCTGTTTCGGCTCCAAAATGGCCGATTAAAGCCAAAATAAAAGTAACGTGCGGTTCCTCGAGTGGCCGCTGCGGGAGACATGGCGGCGTTGTGTTCGCCATTAGCTCGGTGCTCGAGGACAGCTCGGGGACACTTCTTCAGAGCAGTCTCTATGGCAGTTTCCCAACTGAGTGTTTTAGTAACGTTGGCCGAGGGTGACCAAAACAGCTGTGGTTTTGGCCATCGGTGAGATATGTCCCTACGCACTTCTTGCTTCACCTCTAGTGACGTTATGTCACCTCGAAAAGCTTCTTACCTCCATGATAAGGGCCTCACTTGGGCCAAATACGGTTTCACTCCAAGGTGTTCGTCAGTGTCAATTTCAAAGTACTTTCTTTTTTGGCGTTTCTATAGCTTTCCTCTGGATCGCCTCATAAATGCCAAAGTGCCATACTTGAGCGAAATGTGCCACCTATAGAACCGAAGAACCAGCAGCGAAGATTAGAAGCTGGCACCTGTTTGGCAATCTAGGACACAAATTTCTCTCGTGAAAACCGAACAACCAGAAGTGAAGCCTATAATTTTGGCACTTGTTCCTGGCGATTTAGGCCCAGAGACGCCAGATGACAGCCAAACTACTAGCAGTGGAAAGCCTAACTTTGGCACCTGTTCGGAGAGTCAGGGGCCAAGACACCTACACACTGGCCGAAGAAGGTCAAGTTAGGCTACGTACATTAGCTTCTTTGGGAATATTTAAAGCCCGAAGTTCCCAGAGAAAAAAACAAAACAAATTTTGACCCAAAGAACTGTGGTACCACGAAAGGTGCTCAGAATTTGTAACGCCCTGCATTTCTTAAGCTCTTAGTCACTACAGTCGCCGACAGGTTAGCGGGGTGTGACTTATTATGGTTACACTTCTTGCTTTGTGATTGGCCTTTCGGTATGCTAATCGGCTAACGCAGCAGTGCTATCGACTGTTGAGCAGTGACTAATAATGTTCCTAAATAAGATGCCAAATAAGATGCCCGAGATTTGCCACGGCACGCGTGTCTTATTTTGCCACTAGCCATAAGTGTTTTTTTGTTTTGTTTTTCAGTTGTCCGTCATCTATCCTGCTTACCTGCTCATCCTTGGCATGGTTCTTCATGCCGCAGCCATTGCAGCCCTCGGGTATGCGTCACAAAATATGCATCACCCAGTCACCAAAAATGTCACAAAATGTTTGTTATTCAATCAACCTCGAGATTCACTTTTTTTTTTTTCTTTTTTAGCTTTCTCCTGCCAACTACGGTCACTCGGATCCCGTAGATTGACTCAAGAATTTAGAGACTGAAAGAGGAACATCCAGACTTAAATTTTCGGCCTTCTGGCAGCGGCAGCATAATCGCTAATTTCGTACAATATAACGCTCACAGCGAGCTCCATAAGGCAGAAATGAAGGGTTAATTTCCTATCAATGCATTCTGAAACTCCCGTCAAAATACTCAAATTTCCGTCATGTACCTTATTCATTCGTTCATCATTGCTTCTAAGATGTGTGAACATCGCCCAAACTTCTATTCATATCGACGACCTTTTTTTGGAAAATGCAACAATAGAAGGTCTCTGGTATACTCTTGTATTACTCTTAAAAATTCCCGTATGAGCCCCTCTTTCCGCAAAGCACTCGGAGAAACAATCGCTGCAATCTATGAAGGAGGCTCGAATGACAAGCTAATAAAATGCTTAGCCCCCTCTCCCTTCCCCCCCCCCCTCCACAAAAAAAAACTGTTTGTAGTGTGACACTGAGCGTTACGTAAGCACATTAAACGTCACGCTTAGTGTTATATCGTATTCTCAACTTCGTTATTCGCTGGGTTCCTTCCATTGTTTCTGTAAATAGCTGTCTCTAAGTCCTGCAGAATAATAAGCTCACAAATTTATTTTGTTAGTTATCAGCCCTATTCGAGCGCTCACTCCGTGCTCGTATCCAATATATAGGTCGCATTTGTATAACATCACCATGAGCAATCCCTGTTGCTATATCGGCGCTTCGATCGCTGTGACTACGCCATTGAGTTTTTAGAAGGAGAGAATGAAACAAAAAGTTCGCTCTTAGCCTTAAGAAATTCGCCGCGACTTAAAAAGAAATAAAAACTTTTTACGTTCTAGTGTTTGTGGGTCCCAAGTGCCAGTAAGCCTGCGTGAAGTCAGAAACATTCCAACCGAATATTGTTGCACCGCCCCTTTAACCACGTGTTGATGCATTTGCAGAGCCCTTCACTGGCTCCCTGACGACGAGAACCTGTTCCTTGGTGTGAGCGCGGCAATCAAGTGTGTCGCCGGGATAGGATTCGCAATCTACTTCGCTACCATGTACACCACTCTGTTCTACAAGAACCAGCAGTCTTCCCTGGCGACACTCGTAAGACTCAAAGCTTCCAGATGCGCGAGCCTTCTGAGATCGAAAAGGAAACTCTTGGACGCGTCAGAGTGGCGGCTGAACTGTCGCTGAGAAACTTCGCTTTTTCAGGCCCAGACGAAGTTGAGTCTCTCAGTGAAACATAGGCTGGCAATATGAGGATGGCAGAAGTTCTAATTGGGGTTCCTTCCTTCTACAGATTGCCGACGTTCGTGACTCGTTTGGCAGTGCCTTCCCTGTGTTTTCGGAAGAAATATTCTAGCTCTATATTGATTTAGTCATGGTACAAACAGTGCATTGCGTGTCCTTCTTCCCAAGTAAGAGGCCTACGTCGAATCCTTGTGGACACTGCTTAATTTCTCATGCATGGGTAGGTTCCTGATGTATACGTAAAACAGTGTTAGCAGGACCCGTTTTCAGTACAAATTACTCTTAATTCAAAGAACAGAAAAAAATTTCGCAGCATTCGGTTGGACCAAGCAAAATTGCAGTAATAAATAGATTCGCTATCTTTTTTTTTTTAGTTGATTTTGAATGAAATGTTTGTGCACTCTCAGACATCCCTGAGTGTCTGTTGCTCAGCGATGCACCGGAAACATCAATAACTATATTATATTTAATCAGTTCGACCACTGGGAAGGATAATAGGTATCATACTTCAATGCTCGTGCAGTCCAGTGACAAAAACAAGAGTCCATCATTTTGCCACTTAAGCCAACTGCCGATTGCAAGGTCACACCAATCGCCTTTTTTATTGGTTGAACTGATCAAGAAAAGGGAATGATTTATGTTCCAAGAAGATACCGTATTTACTCGAGTAATAGCCGCACTGTTTATGAAGAAAACCTGAGGGCTCGCTTTTCCATGGAGCACGCGGATTGCCAATCACCGCGATCGACAGCATGATTCCAGCGGTTCGCAGGACAGAGACAACGTTTTCGCGCGAAGATACCGTCTGTGAAGATTGCATTTGTATGGAGACTCGTGTTCTCGATCTAGTCATTCACTATGTTATTTATCCGCAACGCAATTATTGGCTGTATATATGCTTTGCGGGAATGTTGACACAAGGGCCTTGTTCATAAATAGTGCGGCAATTACTCGAGTAATTACGGTACGTTTGCTACGCTCTCTGGTACTTATAAGAGGACATGCACTCGAATTAGCTTTGCAAAACCGGGTACGGCATTGGAAAGCGTTCGAGAGTGTGAGCCACAGAGACGTGCCATCTATATGTAAATTTATATTTATGAAAAAAAAAATGCATTGGCCAGAGCTGGTCCGTGACAATGACACCGGAGCCCGTGCGGCCTCGGTATAGCGTCGGTCATACGGTATGTTCGGATGGCCGATATCAGTTCGGATGTCGAGTAAACATGTCAAATAAACAAGGCAAAAGAAAATGGCGCGGACGATCACGTGACGTGGTGCAAATGGGCAGCATTAGCTGGTGCGATATTTCGATTGTATTGGGTTCTGCTTCGGTGTATGCTTTGGCCGCGCCATCCTTCCGAGGAGGGTTTAGAGCGCCGAGTGGATATCCAACTCTCGCCCACAAGATCCTCTGGCATCGGCTGGTATACGCACCCGTAGCCCGTGGCGAGAGTCCGTATCTTACCAGGGGCTTTAAACTCGTCAAAAAAACAAAGTTGTGGCCGACGTTCACGGAGCGCATCGATTGGGCTATCACGAAGATGACTTCGCGCCTTTGTCGCCGGCGCCCAATCAGTGCGCTTCGCGAACTTTCGGCTCCAACTTCGCGTTTGACGAGTTTAGGGCCCCAGGACGAACACTACGTAGGCACGTAGCCCACACCTTGAAGGTTGTCAGGTCAAGGTTTAAGTACGACGACTGAAGAGTCTGGTGGCAAGCCTCCGACAGAGCCAGCAGGACTCGCGTAAATCAGAATCGATCACAGACAGAAGAGCTAGCACCAAACACGTTCTCGCGGACGCGCTGCGCAAATTGCTTGGTCACACCAGCGTGTCCATTATTCACTCGGTACCGTGCTCTTCTACGTGCCGCTTCACGTTTACGCACAGCATGATCTTGACGTCGAATGCGTTCCATCCTAACATCCAGGGTGAGACCGAAGGCTCGGAGGACAAGCGGCAGCAGGCGAAACAGCAGGTCGCGCCCTCTCCTGGCGCCAAAGTCAGCTACGATAACCGCGCGCATGCTCCGTTCGTTTTCTGCGACACGAGGCTCGCTCAGTACAAGAATCTCAATACAACTGACGAAGTAAAACATACTGCGACAATGGCGAGGTTATTTCTAGCGTCATGGCCCCATAGAAAAGTCGTTGGACTGGGCGGCACCAGACCCGTTAATGTGTCACGCTATGCGACCGCAAAATGAATGAATGTCAGTATACATGAATATTCGTTTTCAACAATGTCCTCTATACTTACACAGATCTTGTCAGAAGTCACTGTCGGCGTTGGCGGCGTCATCGGACCCATCGTCGGATTCGAACTCACTCAGGTGATTCTTTAAACTGCATAACACGAAAAACTATATTAAACAAACGAGGGCAGACGCTCACGTGACATATCTATTGTCTTCTATCATTGGCTTAATATTTTCACGCCCCTTGCTTCGTGATTTGTTCCCTGGCACTCTTATCGGCTAATACTTCAATCTCATTGGCTGCGGAGCCATTTAAGGTGTTCGGAAATCGCAAAGGCCTGTATTTCTTAAGCTAACTAGCTATAGATAGGTAACCATATCTATATATCTATCTATCTATCTACATCTGTCTGTCTGTCTTTCTTTCTTTCTTTCTTTCTTTCTATCTATCTATCTATCTATCTGTCTATCTATCTTTCTATCTATCTTTCTATCTATCTTTCTATCTATCTTTCTATTTATCTTTCTATCTATATTTCTATTTCTATTTTTATCTATCTATCTTTCTATCTATCTATCTTTCTATATATCTATCTTTCTATCTTTGTATCTATCTATCTTTCTATCTTTCTACCTAGCTATCTTTCTATCTATCTTTCTATCTACCTATCTTTCTATATTTGTATCTATCTATCTTTCTATATATCTTTCTATCGATCTTTCTATCGATCTTTCTATCTCTATCTTTATATCTTTCAATCTTTCTATCTATCTTTCTATCTATCTTTCTTTCTATCTATCTATCTATCTATCTATCTATCTATCTATCTTTCTTTCTATCTATCTTTCTATCTATCTTTCTATCTATCTATCTTTCTATCTATCTATCTATTTTTCTATCTATCTATCTATCTATCTTTCTATCTATCTATCTTTATTTCTCTTTCTTTCTTTCCTTCTTTCTGTTTCTTTCTTTCTTTCTTTCTTTTCTATCTTTCTTTCTTACTTTCTAGCTTTCTTCTCTTTCTTTCTATCTTTCTTTTATTTATTTCTATTTTTCTTTCTATCTTTCTTTTCTTTCTATCTTTCTTTCTTTCTTTCTATCTTTCTTTTCTTCGCACAAAAGAACAGGGGAAACGCAGGAGGCGTGCAGTGCTAGCAGATAGGTCTCTAAACCATACGCAGAGGCGTCATCTGGCAAGTGGCAGTGGCAGGAACTGCCTACACTCCCAGACGCTTCTGCCTGCATGCTGGCCTTCGATGATCACGAACCACAAGCCGATTGGAATCATGCTCCAACGGCCTTGAGGTCTCAGTGGCAAAACGGGTAAACGCATTGCCGCCCCTGAGTCTGCGTGCACTCTAAGCGATCTGAAGCGTCTACTTTCCCGCAAAAAGAAAACATCGGAGAACCAATCGCTTACAATCTACGGAAGGAGCTCGATGAACGACGAGGAAGACAACACATTTAGACCCAAAATCACAGTCCGTACAGCCGCACCGAGCTTGTCATTTCGCCATGCTCCGTGCCACAGCGCAGACCGTTTTGTCTTGTTTACTTCAGTTCTAAACATATTTTCAACCTCGTCATTTGTCGGGCTCTCTTCGTATAAATGAATACTGTTTTTTTTTTTTTTAATCGGTAGACCACTTGCGCTATTCAGCCGAAAAGTTGCGGGGATTGAGTTCCCCATGTGCTTTGCGAAAAAGCAGAAGCTCTAGAGTTCTTAGAGTGTGGCCATCGTGGTATGATGGGGATCGCCCTTCTAGTTGGTCAAACGAATTAAAGAAGGACGTGTGATTGGCGTTTAGAGTGAATCTTGGGGCAGTATCCATAGAAAAGCTTTTTGATAAATGTATTGATCGCTTGTTCACGGTAAAAGCGGGAGAAAAAAAAAACTTCGCTTACTACAATAAAAAGCCTTTTCTATGCTTCCAGGAACACCAGGCCTTATGTAAAGCTTTATGTTGGTGCGGATCAATCTTGAAAGAAGGACGCTAACGGATGCTTCTCTTCCTATTCGTGAAGCAAAAGAAATAATGCGATCCAATCGAGTGGCGTAGTGATGACATTTTTCTTTAGAAAATTGTGGGAGTGTCTTTCCCAGCAGTTTATGTGCTGCAACAGATTAAAAAAGTGTCAATGAACTGCATGACGTCGGCAAAAAAAAGAGATAAAAAAGAATGTAAGCCACATAAAAAAAGCCTGTGCTGCTTACGTTTCAATAGTAGGCAAACAGGAGCTATCCCCGCGGTTTTCACAAAAAAGAAAAAAAAAAGAGAAACGCAAGCGTATTGATACCATTACTCTCCGAGTTCTCGTTACAGACAAAGGTAGATGTTTGTTTTGAAAAAACGATTTTTGTTAGAATACATTTTTTTTTTCTCGCAGGTGTGGCTCTACCCTCTGCCCTACTTTGCCATCGGTGGTTGCATGTTGCTCGGAATTTTGATAGCGGTGGCGCTTCCGCTTGACGCCTGTGAGTCATGTGCGCCCGCGAGACTTCTGCGCATGCGCGCGCAACTGTACGCGGCAAGCCCACGCTGCAGCGCGGCGAAAAAAAAATGTGTTAGCCGCAGCCGGTCCGTGACATTGACGCCGGAGTCCGTGCGGCCACCTGTAGAGCTGTTCAGATCTCGAGAGAAAACATGTAAGAGAGAGAACGCGGAAGGAAAAAAGAGACGGTTGTGTCCGGTTGGATAGATTCTGGTCAAAAATCAGCTGCTTTTGCTCAAAGCATCCCATGCTGCATTACACGTCAGTGTCCTTCCCGAGGAATAAATCGCGTGAAATATAACTAGAAATCCCAACCCTGGGTTGATTCTAACTTGCACAATGATCATGTAAAGTTATATTACTGCATCGCTCTCTTGGATGCGAATCCACTACTTACACCTGTCAGGTGGCAAAATAGCTGTAATCTCCAGCGAATGGCATTCGTACCGACCCTCGTATGCATGTTGTCACGCAGAAATATTTAATTACATCAGCAGAAAATTACATTTGCTGTTCCTCTCTTAGTAAGTCAGTACTCTCGATGGCGGAGACGCGGTAAGAAACAGCAATGTGACATTGTATTAAAACAAATCGAGACAAAATGTGCCTCTTCTTGTGTTAAGAACGAATTGTTCTTAATTTTTATTTACTTTTTGCTTATATAATATATTCTTTTTAATTTAGTAACGCCAAGTGCACCATCTTCAGCCGCCTTTGTACAAAGTCTTAGCTCGATACGTCAGAAGACGGTTTTGTGCGGTTCGTTTAAAGGGTCAGCGATTCCTTTGACTCACACGGTAGTTTGGAGTCCTAGAGCTCTGCACGGGGCCGGGTCGACCCGAAAGCCTGGGCCCGTTCCGGCCCGCGGGCCCGGCCGGTCAAGGACCGGGTGGCACAGGTTGTTTCCGGACCAGGGGCGGGCCCGGGTCAAGTAGTACGGATTATTTCCGGGCCCGGGCCTGGCTCAGGCCTAAAACACGTAAATACTGAAAAGTTTTAATCCATCGTGACTTTAGTTCATACTTCACTGCGTAGAATCTATGACTTGTAAGTGTTCTATGATGTCTCGAAACTTTTCTACATCGTTTGAGCGAGTGCTACTAAAATCTAAATGTTGACATTCGCATTTTTATGCGTCTTTCTTGCCACTTAGGCTAAACGAATCAAATGCACCAACACCTCCCAATGGCAGCTTTATATTTAAGAGATGAGACACGCCTTGGGGCCTGTTACCGGCCCGGGACCGGACCGGGCCTTATCAGGTAGGCATTCCATCGGGCCGGGTACGGGCCGGACCTGATTACGTAGGCCTCCCGCCGGGCCGGGTTCGGGTCGGGTAAGACTAAGAGTCAGCGGGCCCGGGTCGAGCCGGGCCTCAGAAAGTAGGCCCGTGCAGTGCTCTAGTTTGGACCAGATGATCCAACCTACAACGTATGTGGAGGCTTCCCGGCAACGCTAGACTTGTTACGGTCACGTGAGCTTCCCCTAATAGTAAGAATGCACCGTCTGAATAAAAAGGAAAACAAGCGCGATGGTCTCCACTTATCTCTGAGAAGTTATATGTTGTTACTCCTTAGCGTTCTTAGCCCGCTTCCGATTAAAGCAACAAAATCTACACGTTCCTAGAAAAAAAAAAAAATCTAATATCGAAACAAAAGCGATAATGTGTTTACGAGCGTTACTTGAGAAGCGGAGCGACCATTAAGCCGGGGACATACTACTCGTATACAGCATCATACAAAAGACAGTCTGCCAACACGAGTCGCCGCAATATTGCTACGCAGGTCTCCGATCAAGCGCGTCAGTTTCCGAAACGGTTATCGTGCGCGGCTCCACAGTTCGATTGTTGGCAACGGAAGTACCTTTTTATTACTTTTGTAAATGCCGCGTTCTGGTAAATTCGAGAGCCCTGTTGCTTATTCGAGGTTAGGACCTTCTACGTACCGGACCTTCTATGACGATTGTTCGAGAAGCACTCGTGTGTACAAAAGTGGCTCCGCGTGGCGAGCCGGAGTCAGCCTCGCTTCAGCGTTCGATCCTGCTGTTTCGCCGCCATCGACGCCTGCGAGGCTAGCCCTTTTCTATCTTGTTTTGGGCACAAGTTCGGCCCGTTAAGCGTTTAGTTTCCCCAGTTATTCACCGCCCCATCATTTGTCATTTGTGACAATATCCGTGGGTCGAATGCCGCGTGCAAAGTTTCCTCCTTGAACTCATCGCCATGCGGCATTCGAAGTACGAATCTCGCGGTGACTCGCATTGGAATCTGTATGTAGACTGCCTTAGACTGCCTTTGGTACGATGTATAAGCAGTGAGACCCCGGCTTCGGGGACTTATAGCAAACCGTTGCGCGTGTTCCGCGGATACCGCGCTACCGGAGCCTTTCAAACATGATTTTAAGCGCGCGCCAGACCGATACCGTGACCCCTGGGAGCGCGCTTAAGAGCGTGCTTAAGCGGTCACGAAACACCGTAACGGTTCGCGGAACATCGTAACGGTTAGCTAAAGAAACGTCTCTATCGTCGCACAGTTGCCACCTTCTAAAATGGAAACGACGATCGTGCAGGCGTCCCCCGAGAAAAATTCTCGGAAGCCAAGAACGACTGCAGCAGCCTCAGCTTTCTCGGCGACGTCCGCTTCTGGGTGGACATCGTGACAGCCGCGCTGGCCGGGGCCACCATCGCCCACTTCGAGACAACGCTCGAGCTACACCTCAGCGTCGTAAGCCAATCTCGTCCAAACATTGAAGTCATTCTCTCAGTCGCTATGCCACATCTTCATTATGGTGTCGGAAGACTACCCAAACAATATTCTGCTACAGTGTCACGTATATTTTTAATAAAGTCTACAAACGCAACAGCATGAAACCGAAACTGTACTGGGGAGGAAGAAGAAATATAGAGAAGAAGAGAGTTGGCGGAAATCACGTGGTTGTGCAACTTTTTTCTTTTTCAATCAACGTATTTGCAGTTGTTTAGAAGCCACAAAAAGTGGGTATCATATTTGTTTAGCATTTTTAATATTGAGCCTGTGCCTTCGATGACCCACAACTTTCATCATATTTGGTGGTTGTGTCAAAATCAGAGAGAACTCCACGTGACCACGGAGAAGAGAGTGAGCGAAACTCAAACAGGCCACTTCTCGATCGGCGGTTTTCGGGCGGAAAGAATACGAATTTCGATCCTTAAATTGTGTTCTGGGTAGTTGGCCTCTCGTATATCATGCACAAATAAAAACCTCGACGAGCATAAATACCATGTCAGTGTCCCTTTAAGTTTCCTATATTTTTTTTCACACATACCAAGTCCGAACGCAGCCGACGCTGGAGCCAACCACCCGAATGAGAGCCGATCGACCTAGCGGCGCCAAAAGTGCGCCGTCACGGCGTTCGTCCTCTCTGTGCGTCTATATACTGTCACTTACTAAACCGATTGCGCACTGAAAAAAAAAAGCGCAGGATATCACCGCGCATTCACTTGACGTGATTGGCCGGGTGCTAGCGAGCGCACGAAGACGACGAGTTCCATGACGAAGCACTTTTGGTGCCGTTCGATGGACTTTATCGGGTCGTAGCGCCGGCTGCGCTCTCAGAGTGTCAAACGGAGCACGAACGGTCTTCCGACCAACCATAATTCACGGTCTGTCCAGTGCTCCAACGTAAACGTTATTGTAGAGACTGTCAGCTGAAGAAACTGAAGGCGTGGCCCTGAGATCTTTAAGCTTCACGCTTTATGATTCCTTCGTCGCTCACAAACAACGTTTCTTTTTTTTTTTTTTAATGTGTCAGCGGTTATATGGTTACTTTGTGTTCCTCCTTGCGTTGAGATGGCCGACATCAGCCGACGAAAAAGCGCGCTTCGTTCGATTCTACATGCTACAGAATGTGGGATGCTACAGAATGTGGTGATTTCGAAGCGTTCGGTTATACTCTTAGAAACTGAGCAAGCTACAGGTATATAGAAGGCTAGTTAGAACCTTGCCGAGAGCCCACATTCGTAGAATTTTAATCCCTTCTTGTGATAATCAGATTAGACAGCGTTAAAAGAGTATCTTTGTTCGATACTTCCTGTTTATGCATTCCTATATTTTCTTTGACATTTGGATTAGCGAGTGTACATTGTTTTTGTGTTGTTGTTTATTTGGTTTTGGTCTTTTTCTGCAGATCACAGAGAGCGAATATCACATCAACTATTCCTATGCCATTATATACGGAGGTTACGCCATCGGCGCCGTACTCTTCGGGTTTACCTCTTCGCTGCCGGTGAGTTACCCTAGAGTTCCTACGGAAGTTCTCGAGTTAGTGTGCCTTCCCAGGGAAGGCACACTAACTCGAGAAAAAGGTTGAGACGTTTGCAGTAGCAGAGACCATTAACGCTCACGTTTGTAAAGGCATTCTGTTGCCACTGAAAAAAGGAGGACGATAGGGGGAGGCTTCAGTTGTCCGGCCTCCGTGAGCCTCGAGCGTGCAAGCGCAGCCAAAGCACGACTGAGGGCAATGAGCGTGCTGGAGGCCAAATGTTCCAAATAGATTACCTGCCGTTTTCACCATGCCAGCGACTTAACAGTAGCGAAATGTTCGGTCATTTCACGGGATATTTTGTCCCAAAGTCTTTCTCAAACGGCTGAGTTTCATTCGACACTTTCTAAAGACGTGAGACGTTCATGCCGAATTCATCCGCTCGCACTTGTAGCCTTATATGTTATCGGGTAAAGGGCATCCACACTGATGAACACGACATCTGTTGTGCGCGACAAAAGTTGTATCTCCGTCCTATATAGGCGTGTGTGTAAAGGAGGCTAAAGGGCGGCTTCCCGGGTGCCTATGGAGCGCGGATGCAATTTTGGTCGTACACGACAAAAGTCAAGTTTAGTGTGGACAGTCCACGAAGTAAATACTTGGCGAAGGTGGAGGCTCGAAAAAAGGCAAATAGTGTGACAGTCGGCCAGAGGCCGACAGTCACACTATTTCCCTTGATGAGCAATGGAGCATATGAATTAAAAGATAACTACGGTAGGTTCTCTCGATTTTAGGGTTACGACTGAATTAGTGAAAGAAGTGTCCCTAAAGAACGAGACGTCCGTTACTTTTAATGCCTTGCGTAGTTTTTTGGACATCTTATCCCAAAGTTTTGTTTCGGGGGTCTACGGCGGAACCGAAGCTAAAGGCTCGAACATGATGTGATAAGCTGTATGGATATCGTGTGATACAATGCTCGTACCGCGGTACCGCAAAAGGTGCGACCGGCCTAGTCGCAAGAGCAGTTTCGATCAGTCAGCTAAGATGCTACGGTTGTTTTACTGCTTTGCTTCATATATGTATATCAAACACCTGTAGCAAATATTAATACTCAATTATAGAGCAGCCGACCGAAAAGCGAGTTTGCCACGATGAACGCAGGTTAAAGGGAGGGGCCATGAAACGTTTTTTGTTTTGTTTTTTTTCTAATTTCGCTAAATACTGCTCAGAACACCTCCCTAACGTTAATAACCGAATAAACTTCCCATAGACTTTCTTACTAATCAATGGCAGTCGGCAAATAAATTTGAGAAATGTGAGCATCGTTCATCCCCTCAACTCGGAAGCAAAACAAGCGGCCACGTGGCCTGGTGCCTTTTCCTTGCCGCCAACGTTGATCGTACATTCTAAGAATAGCCCGTGCGTCCACTTTACCGCACAGCACTCCGAGTGCCAATCACCGCAATTTACGGAAGCAGCTCAGCGAATGACGATGACGAAACATATGTTTAGACCTAAAAAACGCAGTATGAGTGGTGACATTAGACAGTTTTAGTGGATCGTACGCTATAGCTTTGCGTACGCAAGAAAATTGCGGGTCATGAGTGCGCATGCGCAGAACGCAATAAAAGGGCTAGCGCATTGCGTACGCACGCAACGCTGGGGATTTTGCGTTCCTGGCTAGCGGGCCTTGCGGGATGCTCTCGAGAGATCTCGGACTTAACGAGAGCGCCAGTTTCAAGACGGCGGTTGCCTCGACTGGCGCAACAAGGGCGACGTGATGTTTTCAAAGTTCTGTGTTACGTGAAATTGCGTGGTGTTCGGCTCGGCGATTCTTTCTGGGGCCAACCGCGGTCGAATCAGATCGCCGTGCGGCTGAAGGAGTGCACAATGAAAATGTTCGCCACTCGGAATGTGCGTCGACGCTGCGATCTGCTCAACGCTAAGCCTATTCCCACAGTTCATCGCCGACGGACGAACGACTCTAAAAGAAATCGCCCAAGTTCTCGCTTTGCACTGGACATCAGGGTCATGAATTTCATTCCGCGATAGCATTGATAAAAGGTGCCGTTTCCACGGGACGACTGACGGAGGCTCCGTGATCGAATTTGGCTACGCACTCGTACTCGTAGCCTCTGTACCCCGCAGAAAAGCGCGCTTGACGAGGCTGCTGTGGCTTGATCACGGTGTAAGATACACTCTTTAGGTGAGGACACGGCGGTGCTGAACGCGCGGCGCAAGGAATCATAAGTAGCGTTCGTTCGACGGGCATCCGATTCCGCGGCCACAGTGCCCACCGTGCCCACCGTGCCCGTATCTGCCAGTGTCGCCGGCGGCCAAACGGCGAAACGGCGAAACTGCGTGAGAGCGGAAAAATCATCTCGTTGCCATGACACCCCGGCACACCGTGGTCTTTCTGCACGTGCGACAACCTCGCTGAAGCTCTGCGCGTGTGGTATATGAGGCGGCACGAGCCGTCTTGTGCCGTGCCCACGGGTCGACTAGGGGTCGACGAGTCATCTGCCGGCGCCGCTTGAAGCCATAGTGAGAGAGAAAGAGAGAGTGAAAAGCGAACTTTATCGGCACGTCGCGAGGAGCGCGCTGTCCTTACCTGAAGAGTATTATTATCTTACACCGTGGGCTTGGTTTATTTTGAAATAAAATGATTGGACACGTTTTCCTTTTCAATATTTCTTTCCAGGAGCATGGTTGCGCTATAAGCACCCGGAATTCTACGGCTCTAGCAAATTTAACCAAGATCATGCGCGCTGTTCACTCGAAAACGTAACGCACAACTAAATTCGGTCCGAGCAGGTCATTTTTAGCGTACGCTATACTATTGTGTATTGCGTACGTAAGGTCCAGCAACGCTGTACTAAAACTGTTTATTAAGCAATGCAAGCGTGGCGTTTTTCATTGCTTAAAGGGATACTACAACGAAATTTCGGCACTTATTTTATGGTCTATATGTGTTCAAAGGAGCAGTATTACATCGAACACACCAATATCTTGTTAAAAAAGTCACGAAAAGGAATTTTAAAACGAATTAAATGATTAGCAAAGAGCAGTTGGTGGATGTCGCTAACGCCTCGTTCGTAATGCTCGTCTAGGAACCTTGACAGCTAGTGACGGTGAGTGTCTCGCTTCCGGCCACGACGAGAGAAGAGGGGAAGGAGGAACTCCCGTCTTGCCGAGAATCCCTTTTGTGTGTTCCAGAAGTAGCTATTGTCCCCCTACAAGATTATAAAAGATTAACCCGTCACTCGAAATTCGTACAAAAGCAGCCGCTTCGGTGGCGGGAACGACTAGGCCATCCTCTCGACGTCAGCCTCGCCGTAGCTTTGCTCGTCCCGAGACGACCTACGTCACGATTGCGTCAGATGTCACGTGCTCTAAGCTGGGCCCCGACCTATTATTTGAGAAGAACTACAATCTTGGTAGTGTACAATGCACGTTTCAGAAGCTCGTGCTGAGCAGGAAAGGACCAAACTATGAGTGACTAGAGTGCCTTCATACACTCGCGCGCTTTTGCTTGAGTGGTGACATCTCAGCCATTTTTCCGCTCAATCGTTTTTTTATGCATTTCGAAGTGCGTGCAATCCGGTGTCACTCAGCTCGAGCGCGTAGCTTTGGCATAGACGCCATCTTACCGCCCAAGTCACGCACCGAGTGCCCGAGAGCGTCACGCGCTGGCACATTCAGAGCAACAATGGATGTCTTCACCCTGAGACAGACAGACATGCAGGCACCCTATGAGTGACCGCCAGTGACTGCCACCTTCGGCACCGCTCGACGCGCTTGAGGAAGCGGGGGGTCAATAATCTTCGTGCGCGATCGTCGTGGAGAACTCACAAACTACGGCCGCTAAAACATAACATAAAAAGCAGAAATCGTCCGCTGGTGCGGCTGAAAGCGCAGTAGAAAAAAAAAACAGCGAAAGAAGTGACAGTACGAACAAGAAACCTCCTTGAATATGAAGATGACATCAAGCCGCAAGGATTTTTGACAAACATCAACCCGGTCAAGGCCCGCTGAAAATCTGGTGGTAGAATCCCTTATATCGGTTTTAGAGTGGATCGCGGTTTCCCATTAGTGTAATATTTTGCCAGTGCTCGTATTTCCTATTCGTAAATCGATATCAGTCACCTATTTTGGCTCGACTTTTGACCGGAGTTACCCTTTAAAGGCCGACCTTCAGAGTCGTCTTCTGCTGCATAGAAAACCGATTCCCAGTATGCCTTCTCTCCACTCTCCCCGCACTCTTCTCTCCTTCTCTCCCCATAGGAGCGGGTCTCTCAGCTACTCCCCGCAAAAAGGAGGAGGGTCTCCCTCGTTCTCGGACGGAATGGCAAAATTGGGGGAGAGTTTCCTTCTTTATGCTTTTTTGTCAGCCTTTAAGCCTGAAACACGAGTGATGTAAAATCGCGTCGCGTCGCTCCGTTAAGTAGCAACCATAGGAACCGCCGCTGACGCTATGACGTCCGAAACGAACGTCGCGTCGCCACGTCACAGCGTCAGCGAGGGTGTTTAAGGGCCCTGTTATACTCCGACGTTGAGCGCAGCGAACGCAGCGTAGCGCAGAACGCGTGGGTTTCATTGGCCGACGAGCAGTTACTCGATATCTGCGACCAATCAGTATCTGTGTGCGCTGCGCTACACTCTAAAAGATGTCTGTGCATATACTTTCACGCACAGCACTCGGAGAGCCAATCACGGCAACTCACCGAGGCAGCTCAGCGAATGACGATGCTGAAACATATGTTTAGACCAAAAAACGCAGTCTGAGTTGTGACATTAAGCAATGCAAAACGTCACGCTTGCGTTGTTTAATGTCACAACTCAGAGTGCGTTTTATGGTCTAAACATATGTTTCGGCATCGTCATTCGCTGAGCTACCTCTGTGGGTTGCGGTGATTGGTTCTCCTTGTGCTGTGCGGGAATGTATATGCACAGACTTTTTTTTAGAGTGTACGCCGCCTTTGCTACGCTCGACGCCGGTGTATACACTCTAAGAAATGCGTGCGCGTTTACTTACCCGCAAAACACTCGAAGAGCCAATCTCTGCGATCTGCGAAATCAACTAAGCGAATGACAAGGCGGAGCATCCGTTTAGACATAAAAATAAAGTCTGCGCTGTGGCATTACGCAATGCAAAGCGTCATGGTTGCATTGTTGCATTCATGGATATAAAACTCGAGATTCAGGAACACAGAAGGGGACGAACACAACACAACGTCTTGAGAAGTTGTGTTGTGTTCGTCCCCTTCTATGTTCCTGAGTCTCGGGTTTTATTTCCATGAATCATCACCAGCTCGCTTGTTTTTAAGTATTATTATGGTTGCATTGCGTAGTGTCACAACGCAGACTTCAATTTGAGGTTTAAGCAGATGTTGCGCCTCATCATTCGCTGAGCTGATTTCGTAGATCGCAGAGACTGGCACTTCGAGTGTTTTGCGGGTAAGTAGATGCGCAAGCATTTCTTACAGCCTTAAGGCTCGCCGCTCAGAGGGGGGACGCAAAGCGATGTTTGCTCACCTGTTTCGCTCTTTACTCTGCAGCCTCTGAGCGCCTATTGTGCCGTTTTTATATTTCATGGAAGCATTATAAATCTGTCAGCCGTTTTTTGCATTGAAAAAAAGGTGGCGGTGGAACATGAGTCGTTTATTAATAGCTTGTCCCTGTCTGATCGTTGCAGAAAGCGGAGGCCTTCGTCGTGTTCGTTGCGCAGCTCATCTCAGCCGTCGCTTTCTTGTTCGTCGGTCCCGCCCACTTCCTGCCCATTCCAACGTAAGCGAGTTTCCATCTGAGACAATCTTAATGTATTTCTACCCTTCTGCGTGTTAATGCCTGCACTCATATTTTTTTTTCCTTATTTATATAGTACAATAAATAGTTCAGGCAACTTGTAAGCGCAAAAAGACACAGCCACGATGACGGGGACATGGAAAAGCCCTTCTTCGTGTCCGTCTCTGTTTGAGCTTACAAGTTTCCTAAACACAAATATTCTTCACGCTCGTATACACCGCTCTCTATTCATGCCGTGAATCATAAGCTATGTAGCGTACACATTTCAATGAGCTTGAACAAGAAATCAAAATGATTCGAAAACTACAAACTGCACTCAACAAGGGAGTCATTAAAAGTTCAAAGACGAAGGGCAAATGCTCAAATCAATCAATCAATCAATCAGTCAATCAATCAGTTAATAATTTTTTTATTTATCCCCCAGAAACTTCTACAAAAAGCCTGTATGGGGCTTTTCTGCAATAAAGTTCCTTGATGTGTTTGTATCAAATGCTCTAGTGTGCAGGCATCCCAAATTATTATTAAAACAAATGTAACTATAAACATAACTTCCATATCTTACCCGTGAACACTTTAAAAAAAAACGCACAACTAAAATATTTTAAATAAATTTCTTTGAGATAATGTGGAAGCTACAACTGGCACTTGCTTCGCTAATCACCAAAAAAAAACTTGCCGTCTGTCTGTTTTCTTTTTTGTTTTTTTTTTTTACTTTTTTGCTTTTGAACATTTGACAATTTAAGTGTACAGCCTCAGAGGCTCCTGCACGTATCCATGCTCCACGGCGCCCTCGAATCACCCATCATTTGTGTTCCCTTCATCAGATCAACCAATAGGAAGTGCGCACGACATCACGCTCGGGTTGACGTGCATGCAGTCTAAATATTAAAAAACGTGGGCTCTTTTTTTTTTTTTTTTTTTTTTTTTATTGCTGAGATTGCGCGTCACTTGAATCGCGATACCGACCACCCTTCGGGTTAGTTGAAACAATTAGAGGAAGCTAAATGATTGGCGTTCCCAGCGCAGTGCATTGCGGTGCAATACATACACACGTAGGCGCTCCTGAGCAGCGATGCCAGATATAAACGTCGTCGCGACACCAAGCACTAATCAAAATTTCACCAAATTTTACCAGACGACATAAGTTGGCGTAAAACAATGTCTGGGAAGATCAAGCATTTGTATAAAACCATAATTTAAGAAGACCGTAAATTAAATCTGACCGGTTTCAGATACACATCTGCACATTTCTCAGCGGGCTGTAAGTAATGAAATTACTCTGAAACAAATCGTATCAACGGAACGCGAACGTCATCATGCTCGTTGCAATGTCACGACAAGAAAAAAAAATACAACATGTTATGCGCATTGTTTACGCAATGCGTAGATTAGCTGCTTAGCAAGATTCGATTGGCAGACAAAAAAAAAACTATTTTTTTTGCGTTTGAAACATTTGCATACTGTCACGAATAAAAAAATGAAAGACGTTTACAAATGTCTGTAAAGCGAAATTAGAGCGCAGCTGTTGAGGAGGAGGAGGAGGAGGGGAGGGTACGGAGGGAAGGGTATGCCCCGCCTCCTCCTCCGTACCCTTTCCTCCTCTCCCTCGTATCCCCCTCCTCTATTCCCTTCTCTCCCTTCCTCCAATTCACGTTTCCCGCCAATTTTACCAGGGAAAGTGAAGTCACATGGCTTGGTACACGTCACCTGTGAACAAACTCAATTTCCCAGCTAGATTTAGCGGGAAAATTGACGTCACCTGACCTAAACACCAATTCAATTCCCTGCTAAATTTAGTGGGAATTGAATTGGTGTTGAGGTCATGCGACGTCAATTTTCCCGTTAAATTTAGCGTGGTTATCACGGCGTTGACGGCGACGCCGATGGTGACGCCGACGCCGCTCAACCCGGAAACGGGCGCCTAAGAGTTGCGCTCTAAAACTAACTTGATTAATAAAACTTAAAATGAACGTTTAATGCAACGAACTCGTGCCAAAAAAAAACATAAAGTAACAAAGACCGCTTTGATGGCAACGGAAGGACAACTGACTAAAGCAGCCATGCGAAGCTCCTTTTGTGAGCGCGGAGGTATTCAGAGGTTTCCGAGCTCCAGCAAACAACAAGATTCTCGAGTTATCTAGAACATTCCAGTCATGGCAAAAAAAAAAAAGGTAAAAAGGACAAGCGCTGGCGGGAATCAAACCCTAGCCAGGTGCGTGGGAGTCGAGCACGCTGCTGACTCAGCTATTCGCACAGGGCATTACTCCCCTCTTGAAAAGAAAAGAATAGAATAGAATAATCTTTATTGGCTCAAGAGAACCGTAGCTCCGCGGAAATGCGACAGCCTGTACCATTGAGGCCCGCGGTGCCACGTCTAGTGATGATGATGATGAGATGATATGCACAAGGGGAGGACGACGCGGCCTTCTCTACATCGTAAGCACCGTTGCTTGAAGGTTCGGGGTTTGCCAAGACACTTCTACCAGCTGGTAGAAGTGTCTTGGCAAAGGGTGGTGTCCGGATGCTTAACTGTGCGTTGGGGCTGAAAAAGCCCTTGCGGTTTTGTGGTGATCAGCATGACGTTCTCTTCTGATCCGCCTCACGAGTCTTGAAGGTGCGGCGGAAGTGCATGCCAGTAGGCCAGCGAGACAAGGTTACCTTCGGCGCGCTGTTCAATGCACGTTCTGGATGCTAAAGCCCTGGTGGTTGATGGTGCGGTCGCTCGCTTTGTTGAAGGCAACGGCTCCAGGTGGTGGCCCAGTTGAAGTACCGTATTTACTCGAGTAATAGTTGCACTATTTATGAACAAGGCCCTTGCGTCTGCTTTACCACAGAGCACTTATACAGCCAATCATCGCGTTGCACAAAAATAACATAGTGAATAACTAGATCGAGAGCACCATACAGATGCAATCTTCACAGATGGTATCTTCGCGCGAAGACGCTATCTCTGTCCTGTAAAACGCTGGGATCATGCTGCTGATCGTGGTGATTGGCAAGCCGCATGCTCCGCGGAAAAGCGAACCCTCAGGTTTTCCTCATAAACGGTGAGGCTACTACTCGAGTAAATATGGTAGACGGTAGACGGCTGCCACTCCCAATGCATTGACGTCCAGGGTTAGAACGTAGCGCCGCGGTTACCCGGTGTAACTTCTTGTCATCCCCCCCCCCCCCCCAAAAAAAAAAAAAAAAAGAAAACAGAAGGCATCGTTTTGATGCAAAACAAAATAAATGGACAACTCAGAACAAGAGAAGGGCAGACTACAGAGTAACCTAAAACACAGATGTTCACAGTCCTATCGATTATAGTTCAGTTCGAGTCGGACGATGTGAACCACCTTCGGGTTGCAGAGGGCGGCGCGACAATGTTCATGTTCCGTCGGGCAACGGTTTGCAGTTTAGGTCCCTCAGGTAGCGAATAACCTTAAGGCCGAAGCACCGCTTTAACTGTTCCTCGCTGCGACGATGAATTGTTGTTCAGATCCACACTTATTAGCCGGGCTGGAACTGGGCGTCGTTGCGACAAAGATTGTACCGGGCATGGTAAGCAACTTGCACGTCTTGAATCAAAATGCGACCGAGCTGCCGGACTTACTCCGTTCGTTGAGTAACGAATTGAGCGTCGTTGTCCTGTTCGTCTTCGTGGCCGACATCACACTCGTCGACGGAATCATTCGGGTTCGACATCAAGGTAGTCATCAAGGTTATAGTCGTTGAAGTTATCGTCCGGGTCGTCCTTGAATCGCCCTCGAAGTCGTTGTCAAGGTTGCCGTTAAAGTCGTGCTCGGGATCGTCGTCGATGATGTCGTTCGAGTCGTCGCCTGTGTCATCGTCAGTGTCGTAGTCAGTCTTGTCGTCAAGGTCGAAGACAGTCTGTCGTCGAGGCCACAGTAGGGTTGGTGGTTGTCGTCGTAGCCGCGGTTGGTCTGTGGAGTCGTCCATTCCATCGTCAGCGTCGTCGTCGAAGGGGCCATCGTGTTATCGTCGAGGTCGTAGCCAGTAGCATTGTCCAGTTCATAGTCCGGGTCATTTTCGAGGCCGTAGTTGAGGTCCTCGTTGATGTCACATCCTTGAACGTTTTTGAAGCCGTCGCCTTTACAGCCATCGTGATCGTCTTCGGAACTATCGTGGGCATAGATTGCGTTACCCCGCACCTTTACCAAACTGTCACGAATGACAATAGATGAGGAGACGAATGACTGAAGGAAACTAGGCGTTTGATGGGGCGAACTTCTACCTAAAACAAAATAAAACAACGCTAGCGTCGCAGGCGTCGATGTCGGTGAAATAGCAGGATGGAGCGTAGGGTCGAGTCTGACTGCGGCTCGCCACGCGGAGCGCGTTATGTACACGCGTGGGCATCTGGAACGATTGGCCTAAAAGGTTCGGCACGCAGAACCTTTGGACCTCGAGCAAGCAACAGGGTTCTCAAATTTGCCTGAACGTGACATCTATAGAAACAAAACAAAATTGACTGCATCTCCACGTGGTGAATGATGTTGATTGGGGCGAAGCTCTGGTGGTGCTTGTCTGCGTAGACGCTGAGCCGCAGCATGCCGAGCCTTTCGTTCGTTTTCATCCATGTCACAAAAAGAATGTATGGTATGGAACGTGGTTATAAACGGATTTGAGCATTTGACCGCAGCGCACTCTCGTCTATAAACGTTGAGCTGATGCATGCAAAGTTTAACGCGATTATATACGCACTTGACTGCAGCGCCCTCTCCTGTATAGACGTTGAGCGGCTACATGCCACGTTTCATCCACGACATCCCCAGCTCTTGAGTTACTACGACATCTCGGAGCCCCTACTCGTCCCGTAGTCTAGAAATCCATTGGGGTCTCCCCGCACAAGTTTGAATCCTGTCGACTGCGCAAACATTTTTTTTTCTTTTTTTCATTTTTTTTTTTTTTTTGCCCTGCACGAGCACGTGAGCACGTGAGCTCACGAGCACGAGCGCCAGCAAGATCGATGTGAGCACGGATGCCGGACGGACAAGGCTAGACCCTAAGGAGCTTCGCCCCTAAAAAACAGTGGCTTAGCTCGGCCAGGATATACGTAGCGTAAGCTTAGGTTCAGCTGGTTATTCTTAGCTTTCCTGGTTGTCTAGAGTTAGCTTGATTACCATGCTTACTGCTGTTTCAATGACACACACACGGTATACGCATTATGTGACTACTTCGGGATCCGATCAGTTAAGCTGCGCGCTGTGCTGTTATGTGTCAAGCAACCTAGCAACCAAGCTGCCGCCCAGAACAACCGGACAGCGCGAGCCATGATCTCGAGCACGGCTGTCACAGCTCTGCGCAGCACGGCTCTCCAGGAGCCACGCGAAATTGCTTAACCTCGGCCAGCGTAGCTTACGCTATAAAAAGGTATATCCGCGATCAGGCATCGAACCTGGCGCCTACGCGCGGAAGTCAACCACGATAACCGTTCCACCACGGGCGCCCTCGCTCGGAGGCGCGCGTGGCAATAATTTGATAAAATAAGAAAGAGCCTTTATGTGTACTCCCCGGTAGATTGCTTTTCCCTAAGCTATTTTTTTAATACGACTGTCCCCTTCTATTGGTGGCACCACGTTTATATTTTAATCGAGTCTATGGCTTGAGCCACCAGTCGCTGACTACTTTAGTGAGCTTTGGCTTTGCGTATACCAGTGAACGCAAGCACTCTGTGTTAGCGTTAGCGTTAGCGTGCGCGTAACCCAAACTTCGATCTGATATTGGCGCATGGCGACGACGCGCGTGCGCAGCGTGGAGCACGCAACGCTAACGTAAACGCACGGCGCTTGCGTTCGCTCCTCTACGCATTACGAAGACTCTCTTTTAACGCGGCACCGGTAGCGTTTTAGTTGCTTGGCGTCACGAGGCATTTCTTCCCAGATTCCACCATATTTTGTCTGGTGTCGTGGTTCAAAGCAATACACCAAAGGCTCAAAAATGTCGCAATATTTTCAAAATGTGGGGACAAATTTTGCCATCTGAGATCTAGCTGAGCAAATGTATATCACAAAATGCTGCACTTCTTTCAGGAACTTGTGGCTGACCCGTCTCGGGATTGGACTCGCCGGTCTCGCCGTAGCTGGCCAGTTCCTTCCTGTCATCGCAAGGGTCGTTCGCTCAGCAACGTACGTATATAAGTCGCATAAAGTCGTACACATTTTACTTCACTTACTTTCCACTTAAAATGTCAAGGATCGTTCACACAGTTGCGACCTCTTAGGACCGGGGAGGCTAAAAACCGGTCTTTAAGCCTTCCCTGACGACTTACAACCGGCTCCGCAACAGCGCAGCCGGTCGCAAGCCGTCACGGGAGGCTTGAAAACCGGTCACGTGGAAGTGGGTCGTCGAACTACGAAAAATCAAAATAACCCGTAAAAAACGGGTAATATTTATGTATAAAAACCAAGCTTCCAAGAAAAGATTGCCGCATATGAGTCCCCTCTGCGTGTCCAGAGTTACTATCCATGAGTGTGAGTTTAGTTTCCCCGTTGTGACTTTTAGGTGACTTATCGTACCTATGAGTATTCTTCGTTCGATGCCGTTAAAACGACCCTTAAGCGATCGACAACTATAGAGACTGGTAACCAAAGGAACGCACGGCGTGACGAGTTCGGAGTGTCTTATTATCGTTCCGAAGCAAATGAAAATACGACAGTAGCCGATAAGAACGCTGAAGTCGAATCACGAGGATGAGGAAAAGAATCGTGAGCATAATGAGCCACGGCCTGCGGCTCTCAAGGCTGACAGTGACTGCATGGGCCGAGAAACTGACCAAGAGGAGGAGACGAGGGCGGGCGTCAGAACGCCGAGCTCTGGTTGAAGGGATTAGTGGGTAGACCTAAAGCTAGCTGCCTCTGTGTCCACCGCACTCGTCGAAGGCGTTAGAACTTAGAACGCGAGAGCCAAACGCCGGACGCCGGTCTAGGACGCTGACCCACCTACTCCGCTAGAAACACTACGGTAGTCATTATTGTGTACGCCGAAACCGTTACCGTAGTAGAAAAGGCGTTCGCAAAAGCAACTACAATAAAAAAAAATTCGGTACCCTAAAATTATTATCCTCAACGCCGAAGTCACACCCAATTCTCCGTAAAGAGCGGCCGACGACTGAGACAAGTAACGTACTGCCCGTCGCCGAGTTTTCTTCTTAGGGAAATGGGAGATGAAATGATTGAAAAACACGTTTATTTGGCCTACTTTAGTAATATTAAAAGCCGTAAAGTTGTTTTGCATTTAGCGGAAACAGGAACAAACAACGTTTTCCAGCCAGGGAACTTTTTTTTTTTCTTTTTTCTAATGATTGTTTGCACAATTTTGAGGGTTTTGACTGCTTGCCATAATATTGAGCCCGGCATTATAGTAAAACTTCCCGAGCGGGGCGAAGCGAAAGGTAACCGGGCAGAGCGCGGCCTGTTGTAAGCTTAGGTCATTCGAGGTTCTGGCCCAGGACGGGCGCCCCGACCCACGGGCGCCTCAGAGATGCAACCCACGGTTGTGAGAACCCCCAATCAATACTACAGCAACAAGCGATGTGAAGCCACCTAAATGTTGCGGGAAAGTGCGCTTCACGAAGCAAGTTTCCACGAAACGTCAGTGCTGACGAAACGGGTGCATAGCAAACGTGTTTTCATAAAACAATAGGAACACCCGTCGCCCAAACCACGGCCGCTCGATGGCAAAAATTTTATTGGCTGTTTCTCGCCTTTGAACTGTTTGGACCACTACGCTGCAGGCCGCCCGTAATTGCACCACAACGATGGTGCCATGAAGTCCGTCTCCGACTCGTGTGTGTTAGTGTCCCATCTCGGCAATAAAACAAAAGTGGTCAGGAAGGGGCAACAAATGATGTCAAGGAAGTAGGAGTGTCATGCTTTTGCATGTCGCGGTTCTCGAGATTGGTCGTAAAAATGCTGGCGAAAAACACAGGCGAACGCGAGCGTCGCTGTCATCGTGCACGGCGTCCAAACTTGTGGTCGCTGAAGCTTCCGTGGACTGTAACACTAGAGAGCGACCTGCAGTGTGACAGTAGTGGTCATTGCGTGCTCACGGTAGTGGTTATTGCGTACACTCTCAAGAAAAAAGGGTGTAAAAGGGTGTACCGTTACACTCGTTGTCCCATATAATACACCCCAAAACTTCATTTCGACCGCACAGCGCCCTATAGTCGAACAGACGGCCCCAAATTTTACGAGGGGCTTGATAACGGTGCGATGTAACGTATTCAATAGCTAAAGTACGTATCAAAGACCACATAAAGAAAACACCGAGCTTTTACGGTAGGGTCAAGAAAACCCCGATTATTCTTTTGTATTCAGTAAAACGTACACTAGCTATTTTAATAAGTTGTACGACACGGCTATCAAGGCCCTAGTAAAATGTTGTGCCGTCTGTTTGACTGTAGGGCGCTCTAAGTACGTCGAATTGAAGTTTTGGGGTGTATCATATGGAACAAAGGGTGTAACGACACACCATTTTACACCCTTTTTTCTTGAGAGTGTACGCCAAAACAACCATCGTGGTGATTTCGGCGTACGCAAGAACCACTGTCGTAGTGATAGCAATTTCGGCGTACTACACCGGCGTTTCGCGTTCCAACGCGTTGGAGAAGTGCCGTGGTGACAGAGGCTGCATTTGCCTCCACTGCACTCGTCGACGCGTTCGCATTGGAGACAAAGGTCTCCAATACGAACGTTTTGCGTCTACCGACTAATAATTCCAATCAGTGCTCGCAGCGTTCTGCCGTCCCCGCGCGCTCTCATCTCATCCTCTGCCACAGTTTCTCGGCGCACAGGTTCATTTCACATTGCACCTCAATAAAGTGCTATTAAGGCATAAAATGCTTTTTAACCCAATCCCAGTATTTCGTCTGTCCGTCCGTGCATTTTTCACTAAATTTAGGGGGAAACTAAATTGATGTTTAGGTCAGTGACCTGACGTCACGTGATCCTACGCCAATTAACTTTCCCCACCAAAGTCGGCGGGGAAATTGATGTCACGTAACCTGACGTCACGTGATCCCCGCTAAATTTAGGGGGAAAAAAGGACGCAGCGTGACCTGTGCATAAAGCTAATGTGATGTACGCTAGAGGTTCATATGGCGCTAGTGTGCTGTTGCAAATTGAAGCAGACAGCAACCAGTCGGAAATTGACTTTCGGTAATGTACTGGGTGATTTAAGAAGCGGCCAGGCTCTTTAAATAGACCGCAAAATTCGGTTTTTTAACCTATCGCGTTCCGGTTTTGTACAGCGTTGGCCACAGGTGGTGCATTTTTTCTATGAAATTCGCAAAGAGCGAGCTTACCTGAGAAAAAGGCAGAAAAAGAAAAAGGCTTCACTCCCATGGGAAACGCAGCGAAGCCACCGGTCTACAAACCATTGGACGCCCTATGGTTTGAAGACCGGTGGCTTCGCTGCGTTCGCTTTTCGTGTTATCTTCCATTGTGAGATCCATGGAATACCAGGGCTCGTAGCCTGCTCAGCCCTCGCAGAAAACGAGTGAAAAAAGCGAACGTCAAGCAGCCTGCGACGCGGGATGATCGATGTGCTTCGAGGCTTATTTCCGTTGAGATAATCTCCGAAAAGCTTTCCCGACAATGTTACCGGTCTACGCGAAAAATAACTAATAGGGTCGAGTCCGGGGTATGGGAATAGAATCAGTCTTGGTGGGTAACTTACTTTTAAAAAAGAATTCGTTACAGTTACAGTTACTTTCAAAAAAAGTAGCGAAGTTGCCGTTACAGTTACCGCAACAAAAGAGTAACTCGTTACAGTTACAGTTACTTTCAAAAGAAACGACGTTACTTTTCGGTTACTTTTCGATAACACAAAAAAAATGAGGAAAAACTAGTGTGAAAGAAAAAAAAATATAGACACGAATCAGTCAGGCTTTCACCATAGCGGGAAATTCGAACTTTATAGTTTAGCTGAAAATTAGCCAATATTATAAAAAGAATAAAGTCCAAAATTCACCTGGATATGTTTTCTCAGATTTGAACACGAAGACTTGTTGTCGGAGTATTCCTTGTTGCAAAGTTTGCATACTGAGGTCAAATTGTTAGCAACCCAGTTCACCACAACCAAATATACTGTCTGTACGCCGTTCATGCTAGTTCTTTGTTCTCACTGATATCCCTATCCTTGGTGGCACTGGCACATTTTCTGCTTGCTCGTTGACGGTTGCGCTGGGTTCATGGAGCCCTTGGAAATAGTTCAGTACGTACACGGCAAATCAGGAACAAACCCCACGCAAACAACAGTAAATCTTGCCTCCACTGTTGACACCACGCCGGAGTAGGGGCGCAAATCGAAATACGAAACTTACGAAGTGCCCTCCGCGTGTATTGTTGTTTCACGTTTGATTCACACGATTAACAAGCGTGCGCAGAAAAAAAAATAACGCAACAGAGATAGTGCTTCAAGATACTAAGATGCAAGTGTTCAGTCACAAAGTACAAGCAGGCGCGTAAAGATAACTACATTCTTATTTTCTTATTTTTTTCCATCAATTCTAAACGTGGCTATATTCGGGTCGTGACTCGCAAGAAAGAACGTATTCCCAAGTTTGTGCAAGGCCAACTGACGCTCGAAATGTCGGAACAGACAATCTGGAAAGTGCAAAGAATAGCTAGATTATACTCGTGCAATGATATATTATTCATAAAGAACTGAAAAGTAACGACAAAAGTAACGTCGTTACTTTCATCGTTACCTCAGAAAAAGTAATTCTTATAAAGTAACTCGTTACAGTTACAAGTTACCGAAAAAGTAACGAAATGACAGTAACGCGTTACTACCCAAGACTGGACAGAATAGACCCAATACATGCCTTGCACCTACGTCACATCATGACGTCGAACACCGGTTCTACCATGCTGGTGGTTGACTCGACGGCCCTTCGCAGCGAGAGCAATGGTAAACTGCGCCGCGCTCGGCTGTAGCAATTACCCCGTATCCCGACGATCGTCCGATCGTTTCGTCGGCATGCCCCGCGAGGCAGAGTAGACGTCAAGTTAGAGAAACTACGAGCGGCGGGAAAAAGATGCGGCCGCGGGTTATCGAGTTTGCGGGACGCAATTCATAGCGGCGAACGACGGGACTTTTCTACCGTTGTTTACGTTCGCGCACGCCTTTGCATCGGCTTTTGCTCGTTCGTGGTGTATATAGCCTTTGACCTTCGTTGCATAACGCCGTTTTCACGCTTCGAGCGCACCTTCAGGGCTCCCGGCCGAATCCGGGCGAGTGTCGCGCCGCGAGCCTGGCCCGACGGCGATCGGCGGCCCCCATGTGCAAGCTCGCCGAGCCGCCGGGTCATCGGTTTGTGCCGTCCGCGATATGATAACCTTTGCAAGGAGCGAAAGTATGCAGGAGAGCCGGTTAGGAAACGTAATAATATAAACCCTGAGACAATGCGAGTTTCTTGTCCGTCATTTGATTTATCCCTGTTTTAGGGTTAAGACTATGACGGTAACATTGCGTCGTTTACCAGTATTTCGCAAAATCGTAACAATTTTTCTACAAGCGACTCCTAGAGTCGCTTGTCAGATTATGAAGCGCGCAATTAAGCTTTTTTTCTTTTTTTTGGCGACAAGGCATATCCCTTTGCGTCAAAACTTCGCCGGCGGCATTTCGAAACTTTCTGCTCGTAGCGCAATCGCACCAATGCCGAAAAATTTCGCACGTACTGGATAAACGTCATCATCGTAAGCTCAGCACGTTTTCCTAAGTTCACGGTACTTTTGTTGAAAATATATTGCATGTTAACGCATGTCCGGGCCGTTAGCAGCATCCTACGCCTTGGTAAGCGCATCCGCGCGGTGTGAAATCAACCACCAGTACGGTGCGGGGCCCCGTCCTTCCCTAGATGTTCCCTAGGGAGATGTCACTTGCAAGGCATGTATAGACACTTTCGTTCATTTGCTTTGGTGTTGTGCAAAAAACCAGCTCTCTTCAAACGTGCCCCAAAACAAGCCGGATTCCGTCCGATCTTCATGAAGTGACTGTCATCGACACTGTAAACTGGATATGCTGTGTTATTTGAAACTTTTCTCGAATCCTGTTTGGATAACGCGGCACCGTGGGGTACGTAAAATATGTTGTTCGATTGATGAGACTCGTTGAATTTCATGTTGTGAACGAGGAATACCTATGCATTTCGGCTATCCTGTGTGGTAAAATATTTTCGACAGTTAAGACCCTTGTAGATTAACACGGCTGAGTGTATGGCTTCGTAAAAAAATCATCATAAAATGAAACAAAGATTGCAGTTGCATTTGTTCTGTCTCGCACAGACTCACCAAAATAGCTTTCATTTGTTTGTTTTTGTTCGATGTTTTTTTCATAAAAGCAACAAAAAATTCTATTCGCCATAAAACACAAAAGAAAAAATAAAACGCGGCAATTTAGACCCCACCAGTGTCCGGAATTTCGCCTATGCAGGCTGCTACAGCCCACTGACGAGGAAACCCACAGACCAGCGCAGTCGGGCAACACTGATCTGCACTCTCAAAATCAGGGACGCGCGCTGTAAATCTTTTCGTTTGAGACTGCCGCTGGAAGGGAATTAATAAAGGAATTAATAAAAAGACACCCCTTTCATAGGCCACATACTCTATTCTTTACGTTTTGTATGTTTTTAACCTCTCGCAAAGATGCACGAACGTGTCATTTTTATATATGTCACAGGACTTGCATATTGGCAATATATAAGCATCACCGGCCGGAATGCTGGCGAAACGTGAAAAAAACTCTAAATTCCTTTCGATTGCTATTTTGCTTAGAATCGTCGCTCGTTCTTACATACCTGCTATGGACCGGAGGTTTAGTCCTGAAATATAGCTAAATTTAACATCGTTCACTGGTAAATAAAAATAATGTCGCTAAAGTAATTACACTTCTGAAATGTTAATAAAAGTTCATACTATCCAGTGCGACCAAAATAACAAAAGTTACTATGTTATTTTCCGGCGAAGAGACAAAATGCATGCGCGTTTTTTCATAGAAATGCAACAGGGAGCACAGCAAAAGTTTGCTGTCAACTTCAATTTGCCTCCCGGAAGTCGCAAACACTAGCGCCAGTTGAACCTCTTGCTGATATTATAATACCTCTATGAAGCTGACGACACATGATCCACGCACCAATTCACTTCCCCCGCTAAATTTAGCGGGAAATCGATGTCGCATGAGCTGACGTCACGTGACCTATACACCAACTCAGTTTCCCGGCTAAATTTGGCGGGAAAATTCACGTAACGTATTGACGTCACCTGACTTCTACACCGACGTTTGGACTTAGGGTAAAGCGAAGCATAAAACCATGCAAAAAATTGAAGTGTACTTTTTTTCTTTCAGGTCATCGGAAGAAAAAGTAACGAGTAACGAAACTACGTTATCTGTTACTACAAATAAGTAACGTAACTACGTTACTCGTTATTGTTTTGAATAAGTAACGAGTACCTTACTGCGTTACAGAAAAAAGTAACGCGTTACCGGTAGCGCCGCTACTTGTAACGTGTTACCATGCGACACATCAATCCGATTTCCCCACTAAATCTAGCCGAAAAATTGATGTGACGTGACCTATGCACCCAGTTTCGCCTTCAATGCACCGGGCAAATTGATAAAAGTAAAGGTTCTCCACTCCCCGAAACCACGCTTTAATACCTTTTAAACAACTTTAAACGAACGCATCTTTATTAAATACTGCATTTCATGCATCATAGAACTTTACTGCCCACAGAACGTATCTCGCTCTACGCGATCACCGAACCCACAAGCAAAAACTGACGTCTAGCTCTTTCTCCTGGTTGTGTCCATTCCTCAAATTGGCATCCTCATCTTACACCCTTCCAGGTGGCCTGACAAATCGTACGACCTACGGATCATCAGCCTTGCCGTCTGCGCCGTGCTCGTGATGGTCCACTGTGGGTACGTTTCGTAAACACTGTAGAGAAAAAAAGGTGGAGGGGAACTGAGAAGTAGCTCTTGAACTCGAAAGACTCGTCCACGCAATGCGGAGGGCAAGTTCGTCTGCTCCTTGCGCAGGGGGTAGCGGTGACGTCAGAACGCCGAGCCCTGATTGGCTGATCGAGCCCTCTATCTGAGCGTCGTCTGCTTCTTTGCAACGTCGTCTGCTCGCAACGTCGTCTGCGTCTGTCTTACGTTTCCTGCGACTTTCGGGAGTGCAGAGGCCAGATTCACGAAACGATCTTACGCCAAAAATGTGCGTAAGACAAAACTTAAGAACAAATTCGTGTTCACGAAACGAAATTTTCGTAAGTTTTGCGCAGGTTACGGCGAAATCCTACGACAGCTCCGAAGCTGTTACGCACTTCTTACGATCAAGTCAGCATGGCCGACAGCGTCGCGGTCGCAACGACCCACGGACGTTTATTTTTCTACGTGAGCTTCTCACGCGTCCTGACTTCAAGCAGCAAAAAAAAAGTAAAAATTATTTGAAACAGAGCACGACGAACACGAACGCTGGATCCACAGACACCGGGAAAAAGCTCCAACGGCGACGATTTCACCGAACGAGCTGGGCAGTTAGGCCTAGCAGGCACTCCGCGACTCGGCGACCGTCTGCCCACGACCGGCAGACGTGCTGAATGGAATATGCCCGCGCGACCCTTGTGAACCCTTCCCGTGTTATACTTTGATCGCTGACCTCAATTTTAGATTAAGAGGTCGATTTCTTCCTCTTGTTATCTCCTTGTTTCCCGAGGGAACGGTGACTCTCGCCGGTAAAAAAGCGGCGAATCTCCGACAGACGCAGGAAAGGTAAAGCAGCCATCGTTTTGACTAGCAGACGTAAAGCAGACGACGTTAACTGCGCCAACCCGCCGGCGCCGTTAAAAGAGTGAGGGGTCTCGCCGCACACGAATGGAGGTAAAAAGTATTTGGGAGGGAACTTGCGGACACTAAGCAAACAAACCTCGGCGCCCCGGGACACCTCGCCAGTGAGTCCTTTGACCTCCCTCCTTGATGCGCGTCTGCTAGTTGTTAGACGAAAACAACGTACCGCTCGAGTTATTTCGTCTGCCCTCCCTTAAAGGCCAAGTCGAGTTCGCTCCGAAAGTCGCAGGAAACACACGCAGACGATGTTGCGAGCAGACGACGTTGCAAAGGAGCAGACGACGCTCGATAGGGGGTCGCGATCAGCCAATCAGGACTCGGCATTCTGACGTCACCGCTACTTCCTTTCTCATGCGCAGAAGACGAAAATGAGCCCACTTGCGAGGCGTATTGCGTCGACTGAGTTGCGCTGAGTTGCGTCGTGCAGTGCAGCGACTCCCTATTGGCTCGTCGGAAAGGCCGATTCACACTCGCGTTGAGTCCGACCAAGCGCGAGGGTTGCTATGGAAACAACTGCGTCGGCTCCGACGCAGCTATTTCCGACAGCTGTTCCCATCGCAACCTTTGCACTCGGTCGGACTCAACGCGAGTGCGTAAAATAGGCCTTTAGGGACGCTATGGCAACAGCATGACGCAAGCAGTCCTAACCCAGTAAAACGCAATTCTGTGTAAACGAGCCTTTACTGTAACTAATTGTTCCTTTAATATTAAAAATGTAACTGTAACAAGTCTACTCTTCAGCCGTGACTGTAACTCTATATGATCGGTTCGCCCGTGCATCGCATCGCTAAAACGCTAAATGAACAGTAGGAACAGCGCTGACGCAGCTCTGCCTCAAATCCATGGGCGTAACTTAGCACATATGCAGCGCTGCATCACCGTTGTAATTGTTATACGTTGCTGTGTGTAGGTCGAAGTCAAACCTTTTCACCGGCTATGACGGTACACCCAACTTTATTACCGAGGGATAAGCTAAAATCCTTGTTCCCGCTTTAGCCAGCGCCTACAATTTGTCGTTGCGGTGTATACGGTGTTTCCTTCTCGGTAGAAGAGCCTGTGGTCGTCTCAATAGTCAATTCTGGCAACCCTGTGAAGTCAACAACTTTCGCCCAATGTCACTTTTCGTGCGGTTTCTCCAAGGTTCTTGAACTGGTCATGTATATGAACGTCTGAAATTTTATTGTCACCAAAACATATCACCCCTGCAGAATAGCTTCCTGAAAGGTAGATCAGTCGAAATAAATAAGAGTTACTTCCTCGGACATACCCGCCCTTTCTTCGGTAGAAAGCCGTGGTCACGTATATTAACTTCGATATCCGCCTCGTAAAATGTACTTCCGGGGTCACTGGTCTTATCTCGTGCCAGCCGTAGCTTTCGTCGACTGCGCCCCCCGGCTGCAGAAGCGAGCTAGGGCAGAACAGGCGTCTGCCATCCCTGCGCCGCCGTTGTGACAACGCTAGAATCGCGGCTATCCGCAGTATAAAAACTGAGTCACACACTTGTCATGGCTTTGAATACGACCGACTGCGTCACATCCGGTTTATAGCCCCCCCCCCCCCCCCCCCCGGGTCGTAAGCAGTTGCAAGTGCTTTGGACCGGAGCACTTGCAACTGTTTACGGACTTTAAGTATCTTGTGACTGCTTAAAAGCTGGTTCACACTAACTAACTAACTGGATCCTTAGTTCACAAAGCCCCGTTTTTTTACGTTACGCTACGTTACGAAAGCTTACGTCTGCTTACGTCGAGAGTCACCTGTGCTGCATACTAGACGTGTCTACCAGTTCAAGGAGATAACCTGGCACGTGACATTCGAAAAAAAAAATGTTTCTGTGACTAATACGTAACGTAAGGAAACCCAAAAAAGCTATGCTGTGTGACCCAGCCTTTAGGCCGGTTCACGCACCTGCGACCGCTTACGACCGGGGGGGCTTAAAAACGGTTTTAAGGCTCCTGTGGCTGATTATCACCTTCTGCCCGGCTGTGAGTAGTCACGTGAGGCTTAAAACCGGCTTTAAGCCTCTCCGGTCGTAAGCAGCCGCAAGTGTGTCAATTAGCATAAATCCCGGAAATCGAAAAAGTAAAAACACAATAAGCACACCAGCTGGACACTCCAAATAGTCCCACTGATTAAGTTAAGGCTGGCTCACATTGTAGCGATCGAGTACGACCGACTCCGTCATAATCGATTTTTAACCGGCAGTGCTGCTGCGCGCGGCTCGTCGTAAACAGCCAAGAAGCGGCTTAAAACCGGTGGTGTCGGAGTCGGTCGCTAAAATGTGAACCAGCCTTTACGCTTAGAGTATCGACACTCCATGTCCTGATTATCTTGTGGGCGCAGACATTTTGGCGCGTATTAGTGCAGGGCGGTCTCAATTGGCAATCATTACAATTCGAAAATGCCACTTTTGAACTTTAAATGAGGTGATTTGAAGCTCAAACGGCGTCATTTTTTCTTTTTTTTTTTCTGCCATGGATTATTTGGACCTTTCTGGTGGGCAGAAAACCGTTTCCCGCCATTTCAGATAAAAGTTCAAATACCTGGCAACAGTGATTTTAAGCACCAATATGGCTTAAATGTAGTTACTTTAAACTTTTACCTACTTATCGTATCTACTCTCTGAGCGAAATGTCTCTGCTGGAGCACGCCTGCACATGCCCGGCAGGGACGCTGAAAGCACGGAGCTCGTGCGCTCTTGCAGCTCCTGTTACGCTCGCACTTAAATTTTTTTTTTTTTTTATTCCAGCGGCTTGGTACTATCGCTGGTTTCTGGGTACGTGACTGACAATCAAGGGTCGAAGGCGACCAGCACCGTCATGCTCACCATCCAAGCGTCATGGGTAACGCGTTCTCAGAATTTTTGTAGCTGACGTATTTCTGTGCTCACGCTGAAACTGCGATTTCAGACTCTCGTTCGGTTCCTGGTGTGGATCACCGAGATGACGCTGGGGAGGGACACCTTCTTATCCTGAACATGACGCAGTACCTCCCAGACCGTCTGTGGGCGCTGCCTATAACACCTCTGAATTCAAGATACTGTCCTGGCAACATAACCCATCAAATCTCCGGAAGTTGTTTTCTCCAAGCGGCTTTCTACTTCCTTTCATCCGCTGTCGTGTGGCTTTGAACTGTGCTATGTATTTTGTCGTCGGAAATCAACACTTTACATTGAAATGCATTTTCTTGCACCGCACACACCGAGTGTGTCCGTGAAAAGGGATAGGGGTTTTTCGCAAAGATAAATGAACCCCCCCCCCCCCCCCCCGAAGTAACAGTAGAACGCTAAAATGTCACGAGAGGGTATCCCCAGCAGTGAAGGCAGGATGGGAAAGTTTCAGTTCAATGCGTTACTTAAACCTGAAGTTGGAAGTGAATTCTGAAATTTTCTGAGTCAAGGGGCAGCGTCTCTTGTAGATAGCAGCTATGATAGCTGTCGTACGCCTCGTATCTTGGTATCGCGACTCACAGAAAGCGCAAATTGTATGTTCCATACAGCGTAAATAAGACGTTAAAAAAGAAATAAGTTGTAATGTTAAAAAAATTAACAAGTTTTCTTTTTTTTAAGGGGCGAGGAGGGGGGGGGGGGGGCCTTGCGCTGTAAAGTACATACGCCTTTCAGAGACGAATAATTTTAAAGACCAAAAAAAAGTAGGGGAGGAAATAGGAGAATGAGATAATCACGACTGTCTTTCCTTGGCCCACAAGTTTTTATTGGCAGAGAAGAGGTCGCATGAGCAAAATTATCCAAAGGATCTACGCTGAAGCGGCCTTGCAAAGCTCCAAGCTTTGTGCGTGGAACAATTTTTTTTTTTTTTTCGCTTAGCGTTTGCGAAATTTGCCGAAGTCTGCCCAGCTAGATGTTTGTTCAACATTTGAATGGAGTATTTTAGACGCCTGTCGCAAAGTTCCGGCAAGCAGACGATCGACGTGAGGGACGCTTTGTAGCTGCGGCTGAGACCGGCAAGGGCGCGGCGCGACAGTGGAGCAAATGTATACCCTATGCAGAACCGACAACCCTATGTCTATCTGCGACTGATGTAATCAGTTAGCTGCAACGTCAAGTATAGCCAGCCTTCGCCTGCCACCGACGGAAAGCAGCGGTGATCTTTCACGTAAAATACCCAGAATTTATTTCAATTTTTAATTTTGCGGAGGAATTGAGCTGAAACTTTCGCCATCTGATTTTAGTGCAAGGGGCTATGCTTCCGGTTAGGTTTCGGTGTTCTGCGATGCCCTGTTCATTTATGCGCTGCAAAACACCCCTGAACGTTGTATTGAACCGACCTCGTATATTGCATGTTCATAACAGCGTGTCTTCACATTAGAGTTATTATTCTGGTTTTAGAAACCTAGCTTGAGCGGTGGTTACACTGTTAAAGTACTAATACGCTTCTACAAAAAATGGGCTATTGATATGCTGTTCGACGTTTTGTGTCTTCTGTGTTATTTATAGCAGAGTAATTATAACAAGAATATCATTTGCAGCAATAGACCACCGTCCTGACAAATTTAAGGTACGATTTTGTCAATTACCGTAGCGCACAACGAAGCACATTACAACGCACCTTTTATTTGCTCATCCGTGGGCGCCTCTGACCTGGTACGTATACGATGAAACCGATGTCCTATGCTTTTAGACAAAGCAAAATAAGAATGAGTTATTGTTTGTTTGATTCCGTTATCTGTGATATGGAACAGTATTGTTGCACGTTGATATGGCATTGTAGCGCTGCGTGTGGTCTTGTGATGAGATACGGTAATCAGCACCTCTCGTGGCGTCCTCTCTCCCTCCTTGTGGTCTCGGTGCTATAGTCGTTCCAAAGTTCTGCTGGGTTCTGAAGCAACTTGTCGTTTCGATCTACTAACATTTTTAGTGAAAGTTTTAATGTTTTTGTTAACATGACGAGATCGGGCAAAGAGAATATGAAGCGAAAAATCAGCAATTAAGAAAAACGAATCAAAGGTACTGCCACAGGGGCCTAAACTATTAGCTGCATGAGCGACCAAGGGCGTCGCCGTCGTCAAAGTTCGCGATTGACCAAAACTATTGCTTCCTGTATTATTATAATGCATCATCAATCGCCGTTGCCAATCACCCAATGCCAATCATGATTGCATAATCCTGCCAATCACGGCGGGGCAGATGCAAATCCTGCCAATCGCTGCGATCCAAATTCTGGTCGTGACGTCGGGAAAGGGAACCGTAAGGGGGCGCCACCGAAACCTCTCGGCGCTATTATAGTCAAGCCCTGTTGTTCCGGAATATAACTCATTTTCTCATTTTAATTTTACATTTGTAACAGGTATAGTCACTGACAGAGTAAGAACGACAGGGCGTATCTTTAGAATGCCTGGCCTCTAGCAGGCACTCGTTGCCTTCCGTCGTGCTTGGGCTGCACGTGCACGCTCGAGGCTTACGAGATGCTGAAGCACTATCAAACGTAGGAAGCTCGCGCTGAAGGCTGAACTGAAACTCCTCTCTGTCGTTTTGAGCATGTCAGTGATTGTAGTATGGCAGTATTGATCAAGTTATATTCTAGCTTGATGACAACTTGCTTCACAAACCGCAGATTAAAAAAAAATATATATATATATATATATATATATATATTCGACCGGATACTTCTTTTTAGTACATTCCAGACTTCAGCGCCACAAAAATCAATAAACATATTTTAGAAAAAGCGTGGAACTGTGTTTAGTTTCGCTTTGATGTCAACTGACAGCAAACTCTGCAAGACTTCACATGGAAAGAAATCGCGAATGCTTTGGACTGCTGCAAATGGGTGCTTAGCGGGAGGGTTTGATCGCATTTTTGTCTTACTCGGCACTTATTGCCACTGCACCATAATTACTCTTTTTAAGTGGAGTCTGAAGCGAAACGGTACTCTAAACGCATTGTCGATCTTCTCAACTAATATAAAAGGGAAAGTAAAAAACAATTAAAAATAAAAAAAGTTTGCTCACACAGAATTCCTGCGCAGTGAGATGAGCGTCCGAAAAGCATTGAGTGATTTTCGCAGCGGTTGGTGAAACAACTGTATATGAAATTGTAAATACAGGGTGCGGCCGTAAAAACTTTCACATTTGGCACGCCTAGCAAAGAACGAATTTCACACGTACATTCCTGAAATTGGGCACACGAACGTCGTTTACTCCAAAGTTTTTTGCCTATTTTTTTCAGTCGTCAACTCTGGGATAGCCAATTATTAGAAAGATAACAAAAATGGCAGACGTGCAGTTCCTATGGCCTTTACCCGCCCGTTCGCCGTCTGCTATCTAATTCGTGACGCCACTCCCAGATGGCGCACTGAACGCAAAAACGCTGGAAACGCCGCACGAAAGGCTGGTGTCGGGCGAGATAATCGCCATAAAAAGTGATTTTACCGAAATATGTGAACGATTATGCCCTTTTACTAGAAACTTAGAAACTGGCGGACGCCCTCGTTTAATAAAAATATGTTCTAGAGCAGACGAACGTGTGTCTTCCTTTGTCGTCTGCTTATCTGTAGACGGGTCCGTTTTCGGTGAAAGCTCAACTTTGGAATCAAGAGTGCCGCTGCTGAGGCGTCTTGATTGTTCCTATTTATTGTTTTTGTTGCACTATCTTCTGCAGTTATTATCAAAATATTTTCCGCGCCGCCCTGCAATGCCGCAATACTCGGCAAGTGAGTGTGCCCAGGCAGTCAAGTGCTACGTGGAGCGGAACTTGGTGGCCACAGCACAACGAAAATGTCGCACTGCATTTCATAAACGCCGGCCTTCACGCCCGACTGTTTTCACTTGGGCGGATCGTTTTGTGAGTGGAGAAGACTTTAAAAAAAAGAATCCAGTCAGTGAACGTGAGAGCCTGCTGAAAAATGAGGAGCTCACTGAAGCGGTGCTTGCTGTCTTCGAGAGCGACCCGCAATTGTCAACAAGACGAGCAGCTGTAAATAAATGATCTCGTCGCATCATGGTGCCTTCTTGCTTGCATGACGATCTGTCAAAACTTGACTTGAAAGAGGTAATTTCAACAATAGTTCATATATTTCGTTCAAATCACTTTTTATCGCGATTATCTCGTCCGAAACCAGCCTTTCGTGCGGCGTTTCCCGCGTTTTTGTGTTCAGTGCGCCACCTGGGAGCGGCGTCGCGAACCAGATAGCAGACTGCGAACGGGCGGGTATAGGCCATAGGAAATGCACGTCTGCCATTTTTGTTATCTTTCTAATAATTCACTACTCCCGAGTTGACGTCCGAAAAAAATAGGCAAAAAACTTTGAAATAAACGACGTTCGTGAGCCCAATTTCAGATATGTATGTTTGAAATTCGATTTTTGCTAGGCGTGCCAAATGTGAAAGTTTTTACGGCCGCACCCTGTAATAGGCAGAGCTATAGAGCAAGTCTTCTCAAACCGCCCGTGTATGACCTGCCAGATGATGTCTGGCTCTTCCACTGACGACCGACGAACACTTTGTTCTGCTGTATTTAAATAAAACGCTCCGCTCAACGTGACTCTCGTGACTCGAATGGGCTATATGCATACCTTAAGGGGTAGCATATCATTTTACGGTAATAATGGCAAATAAATGCAGCTATGGAAGTACTTGAGGACCTCCAGTGCAAGAAGCGAGACGCGGTAAAAACCTTCCAGATATTGTTTTACTGCGATGTACAAATCACTGGCTACTTTAACAGATAGGTATTCACTAACATATTTTTCTGGGGATCCGGCCAACTCGTCAAAAGCCAACCCATCGAGGGCCAACTCGTCGACAGCCCATTCGTCGAATAGACTAATTCGTAATAGAGCAATTCGTCAAAAGACAACTTGTCGAAACGGGCGAACTGTCGAAGGGCAATTTGTCGAAAGGGTTGAATGACGGTCCGAGGTAAAAACTAGTGGTTTCTTGCTACCTTTTGACCCAAAGTTTTCTTTGTGTTCGGACAAGCATAGCGCCCTTGTTAAATTACAAGACTGAAAAAGAAAGAAAAATCACAAAAGGGCGAAGACAGGACAGGAAGTTGAGACAAGTTCAGAAACGTGTCATCTCGGGATCGTACTTCTGTTATTTTTCTTTATTCCTGTAATGAGTCGC